TAATTTTTTCTCTCTTTTTTCAATGGCTTTTGGCAAAAATTATAAAGCCCATAATTCTCAAGATGATAGTAACAGTGAGTCCCAGATTAGCAACACCCAAAATTATATTGATGTTGATGAAGAAGTTGTAGGCTTGTTTTTCAATTGGATTTTGTAATGTTATGCACTTATGCTCATCTTATCTATTTTTGTTTACTTATGTTTTGACTTTTGGTACACCGAACCGAATACATGGTACACCGTACCGCTTCGTACCACTTCGTACCGAAATGAACCTACCCCCCTTCGTACCGAATTCGTTACATCTAGCGAATTTCGTACCCGTACCGCGTACCCGTACCGAAGCGTACCGCGATTTATGTGACTATGGAAGGAACCCATACTATGGCCTTGTTTGGAAGTTGGATGTTTTGTGTCAGCTATTTTGAATGACTATCTTGAATGGTTGATTTGCTTAGCTTATCTAATATGCAGTTAGATGTTTGCTAATACTTCCTCTGTTTGGATTTAATCTTCCCATTTCTCCCCTTTCCCCGCCCAGATCTAATCTTCCCATTTCTAACATTCATGTATGTTTGGACAAAAGCACCCCCCTTTTTCTCTATTTGGATTTAATCTTCCCATTTCTCATGTTTAAGCATTTTTTGTGAGGGTATTTTGGACGAATATACCCCATAGTCAACCTCCTTTAAAGATAAGGAAAAGTCAATTTCCATTGTTCGAGTTCCACCCACGCGTTTAAGAAGTTGAGATTATAAGGTTGTACATATACTAATGGGTATGAGAGCCACACAAGAAAGAAATACACTTTCATATACGTTATCGAAATTATTAATGTAGAAATTTTTAATGAGATGCTATAAGATGGTTAAACAAGAGGGCATCAATAATGTAAGTTTATTTATCACTAAGCCAAATTTGGAATGAACGAGTAATATACATTTTTCATTGTATTTTTACATTTTTGTTTGTAATTTTGATTTTTTATTATCTTCGTTCATTTTTTTTCATTTTTTAAATTTTATTTTTAAAATTTTAATTTTTAATTTTTTTATTTTTGAATTTTTAAAATATTACAATTATCATTTTAACTTTTATTTTATTATATATATATGTGTGTGTGTGTGTGTGTATATATATATATATATATATATCCATACAGGAAAATGATAAAAAAATTGATTTCTCATAACAGCCAAGTAACAGCTACTCCTCATGGCCTTTTAGAATTTGGATTTTTGGACCAATGTGCTATGTGAAAAAGCCAATTGCCAAACAATGATTTTGGCCAATTAATTAGTTAAAACAACCAAAGTCAGTCAAAGAAGTCAAAAAATAATTTAAAAGCTATTTTTCGAACACTCCCTATGAATATGCACATGTTTCATTACATGCATTTGCTGAAAACATCGGCCCCAGTTGACACCTGCCACCTAACCCTCCCCCCTAAACCACCACCCCAGACCCCCATGCATCTCCCTTCTTTGCCGATTGACTACAGGAAATCTGCAGCCAATCAGTTAAAAGGGAGGGTGCAAGGGGTGAATGTAGGGGTGGGACAGACAACCGTAAGTTCCCATCATCGGCTGACACTCACTTTCCAAACCTCACCCTTTCTAGAGCCGATCTTCATTGACCAAATCATTATAGTAAACTTACTTTGAAGATGTTCAAGATACATTGCAGGCTATATTAATTTTTGTTTGTTTTTGTTTTTCACTTTTTAGTTTATTTGTGTGAACTTTTGAATGAAATACAGATTATATGTACATATTGAATTTATATATACTAATCCTCTAATAAATGATCTAATAAAGGACTTTTTATATTTGTTTTTGATGTAGAAAATAAATCAAGACAATGATAGTAGCTATTTCCTGGCTTCCCAAAGGGGCTGCTAAGTCAGTCCCCGCTCCAGCTGAGCCTCCTTCGAAAGAAGAAGTCGAAGAGATGTTGAAGAGTGGTGTTCTTCAAAAAAGGTGATTACTTGTCTTCTTTATTCCTAAGTATGAATATCTGTGTTGGGGTGTAGAAACAATCAATTTTATGATCGGAGCACTGTAGGTGCTCCAATTAAATTGGTGTAACAATGTTACACCAATTAAGGTGTAAGATTATCCATCCGTACACACACACAACACACACACACACACACACAAACCCCTTCTTTTGACAACAACCCTTGTCATAATATTGATGGTTCCTATGGTGTTCCGTTCGAATGGAGGGGGGGGAGAACCATCATTTTTTAGTACGTATGTATGTATGTATATATATATATATGTATGTATGTATGTATATGTATATGTATATGTATATGCACACACACACTACTGAAAGAACTCTACAAAACAAGGTGACATGACTTTTTTTTATCAAATAAGTAATGAAAATAGGAAAACAAAGTTGGTCAAGCATGACCTTGTGAATAGTGAATATGAAATCTTCTTTGGGACAAAGGGATTATGTACTCCCTGTGCCCATTTTTATTTGTTCCACTTCGGTTTATGATGCTTGCTTGCAGTTTTTTTCAATTCAATTTATTTAGAAATTGTTCGGAAGAGAGAAATGTTGTGTGCCAATGCTGTGAGTCACATATTCATTTCCTTAAAACAGAACGGGAGAAGTGGAGTTTTTTGGGATATTCATTCAAGGAAAGTGTGAAGTTCATTATAGGATGGAGGGTAGTTTATATGCAATGGAACATTGGATCTCTTCTAGTTTTATTTCATATTTTCCTACTACCTTGTTTAGAGTCCATATACTTGTAAGAAACAATGCATATGTAGAAGTATGGAGTATAAGATTACAAGAAAAGCAAAAACAACTACAAAATAAAGATAGAGCTGAAATGCTTATAAAAGCTATTCAATTTTGAACTGTTTCTTTTTTTTTTGATACTCTTTCTCTCTTTGTCCATGCAATATTATTATATGATGATCTTCCTGAAATAATGCAGCGATGAAGCTGAAAATGAAGAAGACAATGAAGAAGAATCTGATGTAGAAATGAACTTTGATACATCTAGGAATTGCGAGGTTGAAGGAGATGATGAGGATTCTCCCGTCAATAATGTTGATTTAACTGAAGCTATGAAGGAATTGGACATGGACAATTACGATGATGAGGAAGATGGTATATCTGACCCACTGGCCTATGACACAAACATATTTATATTAATATACTTCATATATAATTGATGAGTATACAACTTTAGAATTTGACATTCACTTGTTAAGCTTTTTTGCATTATGCATAGGATAGTTGTTTCCGAATCTTGATTTTGTTTTCTTTTTGCATTTTCCCCAATTGNATGAGGATTCTCCCGTCAATAATGTTGATTTAACTGAAGCTATGAAGGAATTGGACATGGACAATTACGATGATGAGGAAGATGGTATATCTGACCCACTGGCCTATGACACAAACATATTTATATTAATATACTTCATATATAATTGATGAGTATACAACTTTAGAATTTGACATTCACTTGTTAAGCTTTTTTGCATTATGCATAGGATAGTTGTTTCCGAATCTTGATTTTGTTTTCTTTTTGCATTTTCCCCAATTGATTGTTAGGTGCTGAGATCTTTGGTTCAGGACTTAAGGACTTATATTATGCAAGTAACAAATTGGACCCATATCTTAATTGTGATGTACGTCCTATCAAATTCTGATACAATTTTTAGACTCATCTGTTTTTGTTGCCTTCTTCAACAATAAATATATTTTCGTTTTAATTACTAGGACATTGACTCTGAGGAGGAAGAGGACACTGTGATAAAACCTGATGATGCCGTTATTGTTTGTGCACGTAATGAAGATGATGTCAGCCACCTCGAGGCATGTAATGGTTAATTAGTGGAAAGATTACCTAATCACATTGTTTCATTTCTAATCTGATTAGGCTTGATTTTATATGCTAATCTCTTCAAACAGGTATGGGTGTTGGACGATTTAACAGATAATTGCTTGAACATGTATGTTCACCATGATATCATAATTCCAGCATTTCCTCTATGTACAGCATGGTTGGATTGCCCTCTTAAAGGGAGGGAGGAGAAAGGTGTGTTTCAACTGTAGCATTTTATTCACACCCCCTCCCAGGAGTGGTTATATAATCTCATATGAACATGTCTGGGTATGCTCGCAGGGAACTTCATAGCTGTTGGCTCCATGGAACCGGCCATAGAAATTTGGGACCTTGACATTGTATGGCTGTTTGTATTATACGGAGTAATTGTTTTTAGGGAATTTCTGTCAATATACTTTCTTTGTTGACAGATTATTATTCACATCATTGTTTCTTCACTTTCTTTGTGTTTAGATAGATGAAGTCCTACCGTCTGTAGTTCTGGGTGGCGTTGCTGCAAAGAAAATGGGGAAGAAGGTGCTGATATGAATTAGTTACTCTACATGACCATTATTTACAAGTACTCGATAGAGTCCTGTTCTGTATTTTGCCACTGTCGCTCATTTACTTTTTTAGAATCTTGGTGGCAAATAGGACAGTAATTTTTTTCTCAACCCATAAGTTTTGGCAGCCAATAACTTCAGGTTGTGAAATAGTAATTCCAAACCCCAAACTGGAAACTTGGTTCAAGTTGTATGTGTAGCTGTTAGGTACAAAGTGAGATGTATGCAACATTATGTTGGTATCCATATATTTTGAATCATAGTAGTCTCTTACAAAGTTTCCATTTATTTTTTTGTTTTTCAGAAATCAGCTGAATTCAAAACGGGTAGTCACACAGAGGCAGTGCTCGGCCTTGCTTGGAATGAGGAGTATAGGTATTGAAAAAGTTATATATGCTAGTTAACATATACGAGTAGTTAGTAGTTACCACTTTTTAGTATAATATCATGTTACTTGAAAATTGTTGTATGCTATGATTCTCATCATCATTGTGCAGAAATGTTCTAGCTAGTGCTAGTGCTGACAAATCAGTTAAGATTTGGGATGTATCAAAGCAAATATGTGATATCACCATGAATGACCATGTTGACAAGGCAAGGCAGAACAATTATGTACTTCTAACTTTACAAATGTCTTACAAGTTACAAATCAATTTTTGCCTGCTCACCTATGTGTATCTTCAGGTGCAAGCAGTTGCATGGAATCCATTTCATCCCAAAATTCTTCTTTCCGGCTCTTTTGATCGCTCAGTTATCGTGGTTGGTATTTGACACTCGTGGTTTTTTTCTCTTCTTCCTATTTCACGTTCTAGTTTCAGAAATGCTTTTAGGCATTCCATTTCCATAGGGAAAGATATGCTAATAAAATGTGCTTAATAAACAATATTACATGTTTCAGAAGGATGTAAGGATACCATCTCATGCTGGATTGAAATTTTCAGTGGCTGCCCAAGTTGAAAGCTTGAAATGGGACCCACATGCTGAGAATTCATTTCTGGTTAGTGCCTTTTTATGATTAATTAATCCTGGCTTCTATGGTTTTTTATGCTATAATCGTGATTACAGGTGAGGGGAATTCTATTGTATCCTGGTTTTGTGTGTTTCCCAAAACAATGATTAAACATGTAGAATTCACATTAATATATATTTCAGGTGAGCTTGGAGAATGGTACGATAAGTAGTTTTCACTTAGAGGCGGGTGCTGATCCTAATATGAAGCCAAGTTTCACCCTCCATGCTCATGACAAAGCTGTTTGCTCCATTGCTTTTAATCCTTTGGTTCCAAATGTATATATATACCTCCCCTTTTTAGATGCGTGTCTTGTCTTTTTTTCCATTCCTGCTTGTTAGTGTCATCCATCATCTTCCCCAGTGAACTAATTTATTTATGTTAAACTTGGTAGCTTCTTGCAACATGTTCTCTCGATAAAACGGTATTCATCTCTCTCCTCTTCTTTTGAAATTCTTGGCATCTCAAACTGTATCTGTTAAGACTGACAGAGACCAACCAAATAAATGCAGGTAAAACTATGGGATTTGTCCGGCAATCAACCTTCATGTATTGCCTCTAGGAATCCCAAAGCGGTATATCTACATTTGTCATCATAATCATCATCATCATTCTTATTATTATCTTTTTTTTTAATTTGGGGAAATGTTTTAACTTTTTACAAGAGATCAAGTATGCTTGAACATTAACCTCACTCACCATGTTTTTTGTCAGGGGGCTCTCTTTTCCATTTCATTCTCAAATGACTACCCATATTTGCTTGCAATGGGTGGCTCTGAAGGAAAGCTTGAAGTGAGTGAATTGTACTCCGATTTTTTCCCCGTCTAATACCGTATATAAGTACGAAGTATTTTTTGGGTTCAACTAGACGAGTTATGACCAATTTGGCATAATATCCATTTGCAGATGTGGGACATTTTAAAAGAGGATGCCATTTCCAAGAAATATGATCAGCTGGCTCGGGCAAAGTATAAATCTAAGTAATGTCACTCTATGAAGGAGCCTATAAAAATGCACCATTTCTTATGCAATTTTGTATACATGAGCACTTCAACTTATTCGATTATATTTATATACATATGAATATACTCAGTTTTCAGGGGCATCATGCACTACTTACTTGAGAACCCTTTTGGGTTTTGATAATTTTAGACAAAAAGATGTGCTAATCCTTTCATTTAGGATGCGTATTTTTACCCTTTGTTTTCTATAGATAGCCTAAAATATTTTACCCAATAGTATCAACAATAAAAATCTCTCAAAAAAATTAACACAATTTTTAAATCTTTACTTTTCAAGCATTAATGTTTGGTTTTGTGATGGTACTTGAGGCAATAAAAACTTCCATCTATAAAAAAAGACATTCTTGTCAAATGTTGTAAATATTGATTATGAAAACGAGAACATACAATTTTAATGTAATCTGAATATCACTATATTTGTTGTAACTTGTAAAACACAGTTTTTGAAATATCATTGTTCATAAAAAAAATCCATTTATATATAAATCCAAATATTAATGATCAAAATAATACACTGAAGAATATGATAAATTAAATATGAATATTTTGAAATGGAGAGAGTATAAACGATAAATATGTAAAAAAATGTTTAATTTGCTTTTAATTAATTTGTTGATGTAGAAAAGAAAACTTGCACTTGGTAATTGGTATGACAAGTCCATGCATATACCTGAGAAAGGGAAGTGTGATATTTGCATCTTGTTTTAGTAATAATAGAAATACTAGGCAATTCATTGTATCCTCTTTATCTTCTTGGAAGCATCAATTATGGGTCTCCCAAACTCTGATTCTTCCATCCCCATCAACTTCAAAAGTTGATCACAAGCTCCGGGAAAGCCTTCCTCCGAAATACTGCTTTCGGTCTTGAGAGCAAAGACAACTTCGTTCACATCTTCCTCGAGCTCAAGGTGGAAGATCGCCTTAAATATCTGGGGAAAAATACAAATTCGCACGTGATTTTAATGGGTTTGTTGTTTGCATAGATGATTATGATTTTGGTTGCTTTTGTTTGAGAAATACTGCAAACATTATCTTAATCCTCACCGATTTCATCCTTGAAAAGACCATTTGTTTAATGGCGGGAGACCTAGAGACCAAGTTGACTATGACAAGGCCTTGCTCAGAGAGAGATTCTTTTACGGATGCAAGAAATGATTCTTCCACAAAATCTGCAGCAGGGCAGCTCAAACCAGAACTGCATAATCCGATGTTAGATGATTTTTTTATGCCAAAGCTAAAACGCTCACAAATCATTTTTTTACCAAGTGAGAGTCAAATCTGGTTATGTTTTGCAGAAGTTATTTACCTCGAATCTGAAGAATCCACATCGACAATGAGAATGTCAATGGGAGAAGTGTTAATGGATTCTGCATGGGACAATGAATTTCCATTTGACAAAGGGACTGCTGACTTGGGCAGATGATCTTCCCTACTACTACTAGTGACTGAACTAGCTGCCTCTTTAACAAACTTTAACCCATCGGTAATATGTACCTGCAATGCCGACATAATTTTTCAATCCTTCTTAAATTTACATTTGGGAGTAAAACTAAAGAATACATTCTGCTAATCATCATTCATATCCGTACACTAACAAATGTGAATAATTTTCTCCTACTCTGCTTTCTATGGAGTATAAATCCTAGCTTCGTGTGTTTCACGATAACAAATGTGTATATTACTATCTAATCCTTCTTTCTATAAAAGTCATTGTTGAGAAGGAGCACAATGTCAGTTTCACAAGTTTAGCTAATACTTACTCTCTCCTTCCCCAAAAAAGGAGTCAACTTTGAGTAAGGTACAACTTTTTATTTTTAGTCAATGTAATCAAGGCAGAAGCCTTTACCAATTTTGAATCGCTAGTCATACCCTTAAAACTTGTTTCCATGATCGTTTAGAGTAATTATCTAGAACCACTATCTACCCTCAAAGTTTTAATATCCCTTTCTTTGGGTGGGTTGGGGGGCAAAAATCTTGAATCATGACTGATTTTTGGTTTTTTCTCTATTCTATAGTTTCATGATAGTTCTGTGGTTCTACGTTGTTAAAATTTCTATTCTCAGAGGATGAACTCGATAAAGAAAGAAATTACCTTTAAATTTCCATCTTCTATAAAATCAAAGTGGTCTCTAGCAAGGTCTAGAACCACTGGTTCTAACTCCACAACCTGCATTTGATCATTAGTTTTGCACCCTTCAAAACAAATCTGCAATGGCAAACCATTTCAGTTCTTAACATTAACTTACCTCAACCTCAAGGAAAGGCATGTGCATGTGCAGAAACATTGGAAGTAATCCTGCTCCAAGACCAATTACAATTGTTTTTACCTGGAAAATCAATAAATTTCAAATTCACTTCGGTAGACGTGTGTCAACAAACAATAACAAATTAAAAACCCAGTGAAATCCCAGAAGTGGAGCATGGGGATGGGTGTACGTAGATCATACCCCCTATCTATTGAGGTAGAGGGGTTGTTACTGAAAGAATCCCAGCACAATGTGTCAATAAACCTGAATAAATGATCTATCATTCTAATAAAAAATCCAAATATCCCAACAAAATTTAAATTGTTGTTCAGAATATTATCCCCTAAATGTTCCCAACTCCAAGGTCAGTTAAATTACATGATTTCTTAATTAAATAATAATAATGAATTGATCATTTACACTGCCTACGATATATTACCTGCAAATCTGCAATTAACTGAAATAGTATTTGAGATAGCTGAATGGCCAAAAAGGACAAACATAGATACAACTTAGCAGTAAACTGCGGCAAGCTTATCAGCAAAGTGACACAGAGCACAATAGTTAAATCTGTATGGTATGCAAATAGGCCCAAAGGAAGCCTTTATAGAGAGACCAAAATGAATAGTCGTCTTACCATGTCTTTTTTTGATGATACGCTTTTCAAATATGAAGATATCAACATAAGTCCAGAAATGATTCCAGTGTGATACGAACTAGCCAAGTATCGATGGTTAACCTTCCACTCAATTCTCAATCCTGTAGCAAGGTAACATAAATGACAATATTTAACTAAAGGGTGAGATCTGACAAAAGGGGCTAAAAAGGGAAAAAAGCATTAGAAACGGACTTTAGGAATGTAAGTAAACCTTGGTTAAGGTATGATTAACAAAAAGTAATCATGGTTTAAAGCACGGATATGAAGGCTCATGGTAACATTACCCTCAGAATTTGTGTGACCCTTCTTTTTGGATTTAGATCTTGGGCTTTTTTTCTGATCTTTCCCAGGTTTAATTGTTGGGGATGCTTCACGTGTTAACACAGCCTCAGATTGCACCAAACTCTCAGTTCTTTGGAAAGTAAGGCGGCGGAATATGATATTGGCTGATGAGAAGAGATTACTGATGTTTTCCTCAGTGTGTTCATATATAACATCATCTACGGTTATTGGACCAGTCAAAGGAGACGTGACCTACAAAAAGAGATAAGCAGAAAGCATGGCATAAGACTTCTGTGAAACCACAAGTTTCTATTAGAAACTATGCATCCTTCTTTTTCTCGATGTTCACAGGAATGAAGTGCAGAATATATAAACAATCTAATGTTGTGGTCAAATTACAGAGAGGACATTACATTTAAGTTTTCCTCAATATTGATTGCAAAGTGACTTTTCAAGAGATAAATTTTATGGAAATCAACATGCTTGCAAAAAACCAGCTAAAAAACTTGAACACAATTTGAGAATATGAAGGAATATACTCCCGGAAGAGAATCTTTTAAAAGTCAAATTACACAGTTTTCAATAATAAAGGTCTATGTTAGTAAGAAAAAAAGTTTCCTGAACCTCATGGACAATTTTCCTCTCCTTGATCCCATCACTCGCTGCCATGAACCTGTCAAAATTAAATAAACAAACCTAATAAGCATTAGAAAGTCATCTTCCTGCCCATATCTCCAGATAGAGATTCATCAACCTTTAATGCACAAATAAGCCTAATGCACCGCATACTGAATTTGTTAAATTCCACCTTGTTACAGTTGACTGTAAAAAAAACAAGCTTCAACATGGTCCCATGGATGCAATATCATACTTCGTACTATAATATTACAGTCAAATGGAAATTCACTTATCAAATGAGAAGGTACTGCTGTCTGTGTCTACCAGACAAATGGGGACCCTAAATGGCATTGTGGCCTCTCAATAAAAGAATATTAAAACCATTTAAAACATAATTAAAGAAATTGGCTTATCAAAGTAATAAATAAAGATATTTTCCTGGTTTATCATTTCATGAGAATCTCAACAAATTAAAACGGATTTAATAAAAAGAAAAGTGGTAGTCAGTACAGGAATTGCCGAGAAGAAAGTTCATGGAAGGAGGACAACATACGGAATTTGGGATACATCACAGTTGATGGGTGCCAATTGCTTCACCAGCGGAGACAAATCACTCTGAAGGATAGAATGAAATATATACGTTCAGATTATGCACTGAAACAAACTTATGTCTCAAAAGCCCAGCATAACTAGGGTAAGCATTACCTGGATATCATCCATACTGGCAAGAGTATGGCTGCAATCTAGTAGAACCTATAGAAACATAATATAAAGCATTAGAGGTTTTAAAATAAAATACCCAAATGAATGAACTAATATTTTTTTTCAAAAATAAAATCATTAAACTACAAGGGATTACTATAATTAGACGTGCAGCCTTTGAGTTTTCTACAAGAACCCATTGACCTTCTTCGGTTGAGAACAGCCACTCATGAGCCCGTGCCTGAAAATTAAACTGTTCTTAGAATACTTTCTATGAAGATGAGCAAGTGAAATCAGCCAAATCACATAACATTACAATTCATGCTTCAGCCCGTATAAGGGAATGGTCAGCAGTTATATGAATTTTTTTGCTAGATCACTCATATAAACAGTCAAAAGGTCTGCTGGCACATACAGAAAACCCCATTCCTAAAGCTAATGAAAGATGTTCTTAAAGTGCAACAACAAAAAAAACCCAGCACTACACCAACTCCTTGAGGTCTTGAGGGTCAAGATCTACCCCTCCAAATAAATGGAGACGTAGTTCCAGTTATACCCTTGATGATTTGCTACAATTACTACCCAAAAAAACTTCACAGAGAGTAAGAAACAAGAAATGTTTAGACATTTGGTGCATCATCAAGCCGAAGCTAAACATTGTCAATAATGACTCTTTTAGCTCCATTAGTAATGGACGCTGGAGCTGTTCTTGAACAATACCATTTAAAGTTCATTGTAAGCCCAAAAGACAAAGATGGTAGAGAATACTTAACTCAAAAGTCGTATGCTTACAGATACACATAATTAAATGCATAAGTTCTCATATTAACAATAAATCAACAGATGTGGATCCTTAATTTTCATAAAACACAACTGCATTGGAAATGAAGTAACCTCTCCTCATTTGTTGAAAAAATAATTATTGAATTTATCACCCTCATGGAAAATATATACACGCCTACCACTGTTATTACGCTTAAGTCTTAACCACCAATAAAAAGGCAAATTTGGAAGCCATAACAAAAAATGGTTCGTAAAAAACATGTTAAAACAAACTAGGGACATTTATAACAGACAAAGGTAGTACGGTTACAATCCCCTAAGAATATACTTATTGTGATATTATTATTTAGTATTTCTACACTAACGATAAAGATATTGAGCAGAAACATAGCATTTTAACAAACCTTTGGAACAAGAAATACCCCACAGTGATATGAGAATGGACCCAACTCTTCACGGCCATCAAGAAGTGCAGCTTTATATGAGAAGCTGGAAATCCCAGGCTCTCCTAAGGTTAGCTGAAGTCGTCGACCTGGACAGAGCTCTGTAATGTCCCCTTGAGCTCCTAACTTCAACTCTTCAAGTGAGTAGATTTTATCGGTGCAATTGGAATATGCCTCGCGGATTTTGTTTTCAGTTTTGAGTGCCTGATGTAGCCCATCAGCCTGTAGTGCAATGCATAACGCTTATCATGTCAAACTTGAATATGCCAAGTACCAACAACAAAATATATACTCCATATAAAAATTACAACAATTTTGTCACAAATTTACAGCCTTGTTTGAGTTTTTCCATATTAGATTATAGATTGAGTAGTTGTAATTGTATGGTAGCGTCAAAGTTTTCCCAGAAGAGCAGCAAACAAGTCTCCAAGAAACAAGGCCATGACTCAGAAAGAAGACTAACACTTGGGGGTGGCTTATACCTAATTCATACTGTAAGGTGTATAATTTACAGATTCATTATGTAAACTAGTGGGGTCTAGGGATGGTGAGTGTGTGTAGACCTTACCCCTATGTGGAAAGTAGAGCGGCTGTTTGAAGGAGACCCCGGCTCAAAACAATATTAATGTATAATGTAGAACAATAAACTCATTCTCAATCTTTTGTAACATGTCAAAACAAAGTGATTGAGGCAATTTACACAATGTGCAGATTCATCTGGCAACAGTTAAGGTATAGTTAATTATGAGAAAATGTGAGACAAGCAGTTTTACCTGATTTCCCGGTGAAGATGAACAAACAGAAGAATGATCAATCGGGGAGAATATTTGTGACAACACGCAAGAATTGTCCTTTTCAGCCATTACCATGTAAGTCTGCAGGCTAGACCTTTTAGATGGTTTTTGAGCAATGGCATGAACACTCATTTTCCATCCATGGCGAAGCTTGTGAAAAAGAACATCTGGCAAAAGATGATGAAGTATCAATGTATTTATCCTGAAGCACCACATAACTGGCGGGAATGGAAAATGTTGCATTTTACATATGTACCTAATACATGAGCTTCTGCCAAGGTGAGACAAAAAAACTTTCCTCCAGCTTTTAGTACTCTCTTCACCTAGTGGATCCCAAAATACAAATGTCAGAATTTTAAAATCGTCATAAATCATCCCTTGGGGCGTATCCATATTCATATCTCAAGCTTGGAATCCAGGATACCTCAGATAAATACTGATTTCCTAACTTAGGACCAAGCTTTGGTTCCATTAAAGCATCCAAACCTCCCTTGTCCACAATAACATCAAAGCTCTCATTCGCAAACTGAGAAGCAACAACAGTTAGAACAAAGTAGCACATAGACGTAATAAATATGAACTTTTTGAACAAGATTACCAGCATAGAAGTCATGTCCATGACACGCCACTTCATTTCTGGACGGGATCGGACATTTTTCCTCAACATATCAGATATTACGACCTTGGAGAAGTCAATATTGGTGATATTCCGGCACCCCGCATCGTAAAGGTGTTCGGAGAGATTAGAATTCCCGCAACCAGGGACAAGAACCAGCGAATCTCCGGATATATGGGGGAGAAGATGCTCTTGAAGTTGTGGCCACTCCGAGTACCATTCAAAAGCATCATCACTACCTCTGATGGTGAAGAAGCTGTCCCAATTCTCTTTGGAGGTAAAATCTCCTAATGTTTTAAGCAATTCTTCATGCTGCTTTTCCTTCTGGCCTTTCTTCCCCATTTCTCTTTTCTCTCGCCTGGAGGAACCAATCTTTTTGTTTTGATTTCAGGATTGAGTTCAGGTAAGGTAAGTAAATGGATGTAATTAGACTTACTTAGTCTAAGATAGATATACAGAGGTAATGTTTCACAAAAAACTATTCGACTAGCTATGAGGTAAATGAAGGCAGGTATTTATAAAATGTAGTTTCAGATGATGTAACAAGGTGTTAATCATATACATGATACCAATACCCCTTCCTAATTATACTCCCTCTATCCGATATTTAAATCCAGATTTTCCCTTTCATGGATGTCCCAAAATAAAATTCGCACTCCTGTTTAAGTAAAGAATTGTGTGGTTCATATAATTTTTCTGTCCTCTACACATGTCCCAAATCCCAATCATACACTTTCACATTTTTTTAAGCTACGTGACAAAACAAATACAACAACAACAAGACTAGAATAATCCCAACTCTGTTGGGGTGTGGTTGGGGTGGGGAGAATCAAGATGTAAGCAACCTCTCCGTAAAAAAAAAAAGAGAGCTTGTTTCTGTTAAACATGTGATACATTGCTGCATTTGCTTCTAAAGAGTTCATAGAAAGAAAGAAGCAGGAAAAGTATAATGTGTCATTTCAATCCAGTCCATTACCTGAAGCAGTGAAGCTAAAACATTTCCTTGCATGAAAAAACAAATGTGAACATAAATATGTGATGGAGGTAAGTAACAATCTAAGAAGAAGACACGTATAGGTTTGTCATGTTGTGAAGTATAATAAATGACCGAGATGGGTTTGTCACCAATATGTGCCTATACTTAACCTAGATATGTTACACATATGAACTTCATTGCGATGACGTTTAAACAAATATACAGTAAAATGAAAAAAAAATATCAAGAATTTAAGACCTTCAGTCACTCCATAATGATTAGGTTTCATCAAATTCTCATTTCACTTGAATAGCTTGGAAATAGGTACACAAAAAGAGAGCAAAAAAACACTAACGAATTAACATCACTAATAGACTTCATAGAACTAACTGACAATTATGAATTACCAAGGCTAGAAAAGTAGAAAGTATGCCCCTTGTTGCAAGTCCTGCAAGCAAAAATAAAACACCATCTACCCTACTCTTTTTTCATTCATAACGCTAGATTGCCAGAAGTCCAAAACTCTAGAAACATGCTCACCTAATGCATTGAAACATTTGAACAAAGAAAGATGAGGGGGACATTCACATAATTGGCTGTGAGTGTAGACTGTAGAGGGTAAAAAAATTTGTGCAACTGGATTAAATGCGTTTAAATGTGCTTTCATACTATCAACATTATGCCTGAGAACACCCTAGACATGGCTTCTTTTTTCAGGGAGTTGAATCACCGGAGCCGCAAAGACCCCACCCACCACCACCACAAAAAATATGCACCAAACAGTACTAAGCAAGCAAACTTAAAAATAAGAAAAATTTCAATCGAATGCCAATAAGACTGCTTTAAAAACTCTAATAAGAACCAAGATAAGCACTTGTGTTGAATAGCTAACTTCGCTAATCTCTGATAAACAATAACAAACCCACCTCGACTTCAAATCAAACATGTTTCATGGTGAACCGTCAGATTTCAGGAGACACCCTAATCGATATATTCAATTTTGAACATCAAGGCAAAATATACAAACATTAAGACCAGGGGCTTTGAAGAATTAGTCAAATTATATATTACCTGCAGAAGCACTCAAACAGCTTTCATGGTGATCCGAGCTGCGTCGGATTGCGATGGGGACGGCGGCGCTAGTGCAAATGAAGTTCCGGGCAGCTTTCAAAATGAAGGCTGATTTTGGCGGTGAACAAAAAGAAAAAGACTACTCCCCTTCGTCCCTAAATGGATTACAATTTTTTTTTCTCTCCTCTTGATAACTTTTGTTTGTTTACGCGATTTGACTAAGTATTTGATAAAATAAAATATTCTTGTCACCTCTTATTTTGTAGAACTTTTCACGTAGTTTTTTAATATGTAATTTTTATATCTTATTGATATACCAATTTGTAAATAAAATGATTTCAAAAAGTAGGAAATTTTACTCCGTAACCCGCAATTTGTAATCAAATTGGGGACGGAGGGAGTATTTGTTTAGTTATTATTTATTCTTATTAAAATTAGATCGAATTAAAACTTGTTTTAATTTGATCAGTTAGAGAGAACATAGCCTAAACAATACTCATTTTCGTTCAAAACATAAAATGATTCTTTTGGAGTAGGAACACTATTCATTTTGAAATAATGTTCTATTCATTTTGAATCAACACAATACTCATTTTAAAACAAAATACTATTTATTTTCGTATATTTATTCATTACAATTATAAAATTCATTTTCAAATAATATAATGTTCTTTTGAAACATCGTAGTATTTATTCTCAAATAATGCAAAGTTCATTCTGAAGCAACATACAGTTCATACTATCAAATTATTCATGGAGAAATAAAGTCGCTGGTTGTCCTCATCGTCATAGCCACACAGCCTGGTTGCCATCGTTGTCATCGCCTCCTAGCCTGGTTGTCGCCACTCCCATCTCTTCATTTGTCGTCATCGCTGCCTAGTCTGGTTGTCGTCGTCATCATCACTGCCTAGCATGGTTGCTACTGCTCTCAAGTCTCATCCCTTCCTTGCAGCTAGAGTTTCTGATTCGCGGCTTTCGTCTCTTTCTCTCGATCGACTGGCTCGTTCGATCGTCAAACGCAATGCCACACTCCAATTGCTCGCTGGATCTTTCGATCGCCGGATGAGGTATTTGTCTCTTCCTCTCGGTCAGTTGGCTCTTCGTTACGATGTTGAATGAGTTGAACGAACTCATTTGAAACGAACAATGAATAGTGATACTCATTCATCTAATAGTCTATAGAACTCAATGGGCGATTACAGAAGCCTTCGCCAACTTTGATAAGAAGCAAATAGAACAGAGAGCTTGTTGTAGTCGGTCCTAAAAGGAGAACCTTGTTATATCCCCGCGTCCTTGCACGGAGCCCTGCTTCAAGGTTCAAGGGCTCCCCGTTCCTACCGTCCAAAAGAGGCCTATGGAGTAAAGTGGTAAGACATTGGGTGAGAAAATAAAAAAATACTCACTCTATCTCGATTTAAATTGTATGTTAATTATTCATAGTGTCCAATTTTGTTCACTTTCTTTATCCATAATTGTTATTTATTTGATCATAATATAATGATTGAAGTGTTTTTCAAAATGATTGAAGTGTATTTTCAGAATGCTTTCATGGAAACGTAAAATTCTAAAATAGTGTAAAGTAAATTATTGTATAAGATTGTGTGGTGTGTAGCATAGTCGTCTCACCATCCCACTCATGGAGGGTATGATTGTTGGCCATCCCTAGAGCCCAAAAGAAAAAAGTAGAACACGGCGAGCACCACCATCCCAGTGGGGGAATGTTCCGTCAATCTCGGCTGTTGCATGGGACGTCCCTTCCTTTCTCAAGCTTCACACTGCATGGTCTAAGCATAAGGTCTATAATGGAACATTATATAAGTCAAATGAATACTCCCTCCTTCCTATAATGTTTTTCAGACACACCTTTTACACGGTCAAACTTTAATCACTTTCTTTACCTATTTTCATTAAGTATTTGATAAAATAATATAGTCTTGTCATCACTAGTTTTGTAGAACTTTTGATGTAGTTTTTAAATATTTAATTTTTATTTTTTAATTTTACACCTACAATCAAATAAATTGAATTGAAAATAAAGTCGGTCAAACTTCGTAAAATGAACCGGGAAGATCATTATAGGACGGAGGGAGTATTTACTTCCGTCATCTACATTGTCAAATTTTAATTATTTAGTAAAATGGTATAATTATATCACTTTTTATTTTGTAAAATTTCAAAAATAGTTTTTTAACGCATATTTCCTCCGTCCCTAAATAAACTTTTCCTTTCGTTTTTTCTTTGTCCCCAAATAAACTTCTCTTTTTCCTTAAAAAACTCCTTTTACCCTTTACTTTTTCGTACCCTACATATCACATCATACCTTTTTACTAATAATATACATATCACATCTTACTTTTACACATCACATCAAAAGTATTTTTGGAAAGTCAACACAAAAATATTTCTCCCTTAAATCATCAAAAAGTCAAAAAAGAAAGTTTATTTAGAGACGAAGGAAGTTTTTTTTTAATTCCATACTAACCTTTACATATTTTTTGAGAATGTTTTTCTGAATTTCTCACAAGAGTGGATGGAGTCATCACTATGACCCACGTACGGTTAAAGTAACGCGGCTAAGACACGATCATCAAACCAAACCCCAATTTCTTATCTCTTTCCCTCACGCGAAGCATCCAAACTCCGCATTCGACCGCCATTCTCCTCCTCCGCCTCCCCTATATTATCTCAACAACCTCCTCTCTCCTTCAAACCCTATCTCTTTCGCATCTTCATACCTATTTTCTTCGTTTTCGTCTGCGTGCAAATCATCGTAGCTCCATCTTCAATCGATCCCTCGATCGATCCATCAATCATGGAGTTTCGCACTCTGGAGTTACGGATCATGTCCGCCAAGGATCTCAAGAAGGTCACCCTTTTCTCCCGGATGAAGGCGTACGCCGCCGTATCCATCTTCGATCGCGGCGTGCATCCGATTCAGACCTTCCGGACTTCCGTCGATCGGGACGGTGGTTCCAATCCTGCTTGGAATTTTCCCGTCAAATTCACCGTCGACGAGGCCGCCGCGCGTCAGGATCGTCTCAGGCTCGTATTCCAGATCCGATGCGAGGGCGTTATCGGAGACAAGAATGTCGGGGAAGTTTCCGTCTCGGTCCTGGAACTCCTTGATTCTCCGGCGTCTGCGGCGGGTAAACAGGTCGTCAGTTATCAGGTGATCAGGCCGTCGGGGAAGGTTAAAGGCCAACTCACGTTCTCGTACCAGTTCGGGGAGAAGGTTAGCCGCGCAACAACCCCGCATAAGGCGGATGAACCAGTAACGGCTTACCCGGCGGCTTTCCCACCTACCGCGGGACCAAGCTCGGCATATGCTCCCGGTCCGACACAGCCTCCGCCTAATTGGCCGCCGGCAAGCGGAGCCTATCCGCCGCCGGCAGCAGCAGCATATCCTCCGCCTGCATACGGATACCCGCCTCCACCTGCATACGGCGCCTATTATCCTCAACCCCAGCCGGGATATGGATTTCCGGCGGTTCAACAGCCTGCAAAGAAGAACAAATTCGGGCTCGGATTGGGAGCAGGGTTACTGGGCGGTGCCCTTGGAGGAATGTTGATCGGCGATATGGTATCAGACGCCGCTGCTTATGATGCTGGTTACGATAACGGTTTTGATGCTGGTGACGATTTCGGCGGATTTGATTTTTGATTTATTATTCCGTGCTCTGTCAATTACTGCGTATGTTCAATGTTGTGTTCTGTTTTGAAATCAATACAAATGCTCTGTTAATATTTTTTTCTTTACGGCACAGAGTACTCCGTATGCAATTATTAAATCCAGTAATGATATCCAAATTTGATAAAACCAAAATGTTCTTCCATTTGTTCTTTGAAGCAAATATGAAAGATCATATTTTTGAAGGAAAACAAGACTTCCATTACTTACTGCATCAAAGCGGAACAACCACTTTGATTGAGAAACCAACACAAATTAGAAGAAAAAAAGGGCATTAAAAAAAGAAAATGGGCATCGGTCCATGACAAAACGCTGCATTCAATTTTTAGCGTTTTGGAGAAAGAAGCCAAGCAAATCAGCTCAGACAAATTTTTTGGGTATTTGTATAGTCAAACAAGTCATTTTGAATTAGCTAAACCTTGTCTCGGTACTCAATTTTCAAATATAGCCTTAATTTAAAATTGTTTGCAAAACAAAGAAACGAGAAGAAAAAATTATGGACAACCCATAAAGGAACCCTACTTTTGAAAGAGAAACATAAACACTTCTCTAAAGATAATTGTTGTTTATGTCTTTATTGTTTATGTTCGTCTTTATTTTCAATAATCTGATCTGAATTGACTCAACTCTATTTAAAATCAAAATTATTTCATACATATGATTTGATTTGATATGCTTTAGGTCTATTAATAATAAGTTGAAGCAAAGAATCTCGTCACACTAAATAATATGGATTACGCAAATATAATACAAAAAAAAACTAAACATATCAATACACCAAGATAAGTTACAACTTACAAGTATTCTCAGTGACAACATTCTTATTAAGCAAATAAAATATAATACCTTTGTCTTAGTATTTTCTTCTAGTTTAACTCTTTGTGTCAAGCTGGATAAATTTTGAACTTCAATTACTCTTAATTGATATTACATATTAGTACAATAAAATACTCTATCCGTTTCTTAAAAAACACTCTTATTCCATTTTTTCACTCTCTCCAAAACAATTCTTCTTTTTATTAAAAAATAACTTTTACTCATACTTTTCTTATTCTACTTATCACATCATATTTTTTTTACCTAATAATTATCAATCACATCTTACTTTTATCCATCATATCAATGGTAAAATTGAAAAGTCAATTACAAATTAATAGTCTTTATTTCACTAGTAATCAAAATAGGAACCTTTTTAGAAACGAATAGGGTATAAATTTTGAAGATTCTCAAAAATTGAATATAACACAATCATTTTGCAATAAAATGAATTATAAAAGTTTATCTGATTTAACTTGAAAAATTTAAGCTAGATAAATACATCAAGTAGATAAGATTAGGTATGTGAATATTTTGTTTTGGTTTAAATCCTACCGCCTATTTTAATTTTGTTTTGGATAGATTTTTTAAATGGGGGAGAGAACCTTGAAGATGATCTTAATTGAAGTACAAATCCAAACAACAGTTGCAGACTGCGGGCAGATTGACACTTTAATTGAAGTATTCAAATCAGCGACTCAAAAAAACCTCAAACCCTAAAAACACGCCCGCCCAAATCACAACCACATACCATAGATTTGAATTTTCCTTAACCTCTTCCTCAATCTTGTACCACTTCACTCTCTCCACTCTCATCTTCTTCTACCCTAAGCTAGCTGTTCTTCAGAGACCAGTGCCAGAGTTAGCTCCCTGGTTTTCCGATGGCCGGCACCGATTTCACAGCCTCCGAGCTTTCCTCTCCGGCGGCCCCTCATTTGGAGGTATGGAATCGGTTCTTCTCTCAGATAATCTCCCTGCATTCTCTTTTAGCTTTTGAGATCTGAATCCCGAAGGGAATAGGAACTTGAAACATATTTGATCTGGAATATTTCGTTGTTGTTGTTGTTGGTGTTTTATCTCGGCTTTGAATGGCTTGAAACAATTGGAAAGAGATTTCATACCAAAACCAATTAGAAATGGACGGACTAGTTTGTGTTTTTATACACTCTGTATTAGCCTTTTCTAGCCCTGGTGTTCGATATGAGAGTTTTATCTTCAATATCCCATCAAGTGAAACTTGTTTCTTTTTCAGTCAATATTCGGCTTTTTGATTCAATATTTGTCAAGGAGTAATTCGTATTTTTATACATTAGGCTTTTTTAGCCCGAGTGTTTGATGTGATACTTTAATCTTCAACATCGCTTCAAATGCAATTTGGATCTTTTCGAGCCAATTTGTGACATGCTTAAAGAGACGCGAGCTTCCTTTTTGAGCTCCTAAGCCTTCACGTAGAATTGTGATATTTCATCCCAAAATCAACCGATAATGAGAGGAGCAATTCATATTTTTAAGTAGGGACTAGGGAGTATTAGTTTTATTTATTTAGGATCCGTTTGGTATACGGAATTGACGGAATTGGAACTAAAATTCCATGGGATTCAATTCCATAGAATTGAATTTTGCCAATTCCAATTCATTTTTTGCACTATCAATTCCAAATTCACATAATTTTTTTGCTACCAAACACCAGAATTGGAATTGAAGTCCTCAATTCCAATTCCATGGTTTGAATTCCATGTACCAAACGGGGCCTTAGTCTGGTTGTTCGATGTGGGACTTCTATCCTCAACAAAATGAATTAGCCATTCAATTATAGAATTTCATCATGTTACTTTATTGTGGAACACAATTGGATAGGTTCAATCAACTTCTTTTTATTCGGTAGACGAAATAGAGTGATTTATGCTAGTATCAAAACTGATGTAAGTTTCAGTAACTGGTGTGGATTAGCACATAGTGTGACTGATTGGCTGGTTATGGTGTTGTGATTTTTAACCCGATTCGGTTGAGGGATTCGCATTCTACTTTACTCTTTCTTTGTTCAAATGTAGGAGTTGAATGAAACAAGGCAGAAGAACGAGAATGCAGTTCCTGTTAGTGCTAAGATTGCTGTAAGTTTGTATAATTGGCATGGTCAAGCATAAGTGTGACCGGTTATTCTTGTTGGGATTTTAAACTCGATTCGATGAGAAATTTGCATTTCTTTTCCCTTTTTTTCCGTGTAGGAATTGAGTGAATCAAGGCAAGAGCTTCTCAGTCGAATTCAGAATTTGAAACAGGTGGGCTTGTACTTGTTCTTGTGCATTTTTGTATGACCCGTCTATTTGATTCACTTTCTGGACCTAAATGGAAGTATTCTTTTAACCTTAGGATTTGCAAAGTTGGAGATCAAAGCTGGACACTCAAGTAAAGGTCTATCGGGATGTAAGCCGTTGCATCTTTTTATTGTCACATCTTTTCATGGTTTATCAGAAACGTTTCTGTTTATCATATGAAGTTAGAAACAATATTTCCACAATTTTAATTAGTCACTAGATAGTAAACTATTCAATAATTTGTGTACAGAATTTTAAGTTTTGTATGCTATTGAGTGTATTATTATGACTTAGAAGACGATATGTTTGTATCAGTATTAAATAAGAGTTCAAATCTCAATACTTTTGACACAATGCATCATAAAATTTAACCCTTGCGAGTGTAAACCACTTGCTGGTTCTAGTGAATAAGAGCTATAACTGTAATATTTCTGACATGATGTTTGTGTTTGAAACCATTTAAAGGCTTTCTCTGTACATTCATCACATTAGCTTATGCATGTTACTTACGTAGTTCGTTCTTCGAATTTCACAGGAGCTTTCGGAACTAAAGAAATCACTCAATGGAGAGGTGGATCAACTTCGATCGGTAAGGGCTGACTGACCTGTGGCCCAAAAACCTATTAGGTTTATGTTACGTAATCCTTAACTGTGTACTTATTTCCATTGTTTTAACTAGGATTTTCAATTGCTGAAAAGTACCCTTCAACAGCAGCAGGAAGATGTCACTGCCAGCCTTAGAAACCTTGGGGTAAGCTATCTTTTCACTTACTGGCTTGTTTCAGTTATAACCCTTGTTTGGTTTAGAGAGAACCTTTTTTTGGACTGAGAGAACAACAAACAACAACAACCCAGTTGAATCCCACAACAGTAGGGTCTGGGTTTTTTGGACTGAGAGAGTTGATATAAATTCCTCTCTCCATTCAGATTTAGTTGTCCACTTTGAAAAAAAAAATCTCATTTCTAAGAAATGAGTATAATATGCCGTCAAGTAAGTCATTGAAATGATTTTGTCACTCATTCATTTCAACCATGCTCATCCCCTATCTTTACAGACAATTCATCACAGTTTCTTTGTTGAATATAGAAAGTGGACAACTAATTCAACACAAACAAAAACGAAAACAAAAAATGGACATCTTTTGCAATGATCTTAAAACGTATATTACGGAAATGACACAGCTTCAGGATGTTGCTGAAGGCAACAAAGACGAAGGTGCAACATTTGGCAATAACGGAACGGAGGGTCAGGATTTGTCCAAGGAGAATGCTAAAGAAACCCCAAAGTAGACCCGATGGATCTCTGTTGTGGTCTTTCTATAATAACTTCGCTCTTATGTAGGAGCAGAGCTCATATATGTATAATATATGTTCATACCAGAGAGAGCTATGGAGTGCTCAAGTGAGAGTCTGTTGTGTCTAGGCTTGTGTTGTAGAGGTTATTATTGTTACGTTCCCGAACCAAAAGGTATTATTCTCCTTATATCCTTCTCATAAGTCTATGCTACTGTCCATGTTATTTGAATATTATTCCTTGGAAGGGGCAATTTGGTAACAAGTCGTACAATTTCCGCGGGATCTATTAAGTTCGGAACCGATACTAATTTTGCTAACTGAGATCTTCTCTAGATTTACTTTGTTCTCATCGACTTTAGGAGTAGGCAAGCACTAAGACCCATATTTGGATTTTCAAAAAAAAAAAAAGAAGAAAAGAAGAAGATTTGATTGAAAGAGAATGTAATACTGGGCAAGAGATAAGTGATCTTCAAGCTTCAAAAAAGTTGTTGTTGGTGGGTTCTCTTAGGTAGGAATTGATTCACTCTCTTTTCATATGGTAGTCAAGAAAGAGAGGAATGAAATGGGATGGTAAAAGATTGTTTTAAATTTCTTACCAAATCACAAATCATAGTCCTCCTACTCTCTCTACTACATTATGGCATGTGTGCATCACCCTATACATCATTTCTTATACTCCCTAACAATTAATTTTTGTATTATATTGATAATAATTGTCGAAATAATTGTCGGTGTGTTGAGGTGCACTCCCTCTAGCCCATAGTATTTGTCTAATTTTACTTTTTCAAGTGAAAGTGGACAAACTTTAAACATTAAGTACTCTTCATCTATTTTGCATATTATTACAAAAAATAAAGTTTTAATAATTCTCAACAAGATAAATCTATTGAAATAATTTTTATACGGAAATACATTACTATTTTTATTTAATTAAGGTTCAAGGTTCAACCAGTTTGACTCGAAAAAGTTAAACTAGACGAATATATTGAGACGGAGGTGGAACTTTTTTATTCATACGGTCAAACTTTAAGTAAATTCTTCGCCCATTTCGATACCTATTTACAAAAAATAATATAATCTTGTCTTTTTTTATTTTATAAAACTTTTGATTAGTTTTTAAATATATAATTTTATTTTTTTAATTCCATGTCAATTTTTAAATAATTTGAATTAAAAATAACTTCAGTCAAAACTTTTAAACAATAAAATACGATTTAAATTACTCCTTCCGTCTAACAATAATGTTCTCGTTCACTATTCATATGGTTAAACTTTATTCATTTTGTTGGCATATTTTCGTTGCCTATTTAATAAAATAACAATCATGTCACCTCTAGTTTTGTAGATCTTTTCATTTAGTTTTTTAAATATATTATTATTATTATTATTATTATTATTTAATTCATACAATTTTTCATATAAAATGATTTGAAAAGAATTTTAGTCAAATATCGTAATGCTAAACGAGAACATTATTATTGGATGAAGCGAGTAGACGGGATTACGGGAAGAAAAATGTTAGGGGTACCAAATGTGTACCCCTTTTGTACCCCACCCCCTCCTTGTCCACAAAAAGGCAAGAAATTCAAAAAAATAAATAAATAAAAATAAAATAAAAATGAGTGATAGAGAAGTGTGTGATGTACATTTGGGAAAGGTGTATCCTAGCATTGCTCTTACAGGAAGATAAAAGACATTTGGAAGAATAAAATGAAAAAGGAGCTTTTAAATATTCTTATTGGGTGCGCGCAGCATAACGTAATATTCGGAACGAAATGGGTTATGGTTAGATTGGGATTGGGTCGGGCCGTAATTGTGATAATAATGCTAAACTTTTCGTTACGCTCCATTTTGGCATATTTTTCAAGTTAGAACCATCTCTCAATTCTCTATATCTAAACAAACACTCCATTTATGTTACGAGTATCTCCTAAATTTGTTTCACGTATTCATGTGATTAGAAGTTTGTTTTCTTCATCAACTTATTCTTATTATTTATTCCGTATTATTTATTTTTATTAAAATTAGTTCATACTAGAAACAACTCTAGATATATTTATATTTAGATGAAATCATATCAAAGACCATGTTGATAAAACAAGCCCTAAATTACATATTTTCTTGTACAGGTTCACCGATCGAATAAATTTCACAAATGATATATGAAGTTTAGAATAAAATAAGGACAAAATTTGAAAGCAATATTAGAATTGCACATTTTTAAAAGAAATATTTACAGTAAATAGCACTAAAACTTAAGTCATTTTCTTAAATAGCACTTAAATTGTTTTATTTCCTAAATAACACTTAATAATGTCCATAATGTCCAGTGATGACAAATATTTGCTTGAATAATGACTAATGCATAATGACTAAAAGTGCTACATTGAGAAGAAAAACACATATGGTGCTATTTAGGAAAAACCATTATGTTCTAGTGCTATTTAAGTAAATTAAATTCTACTCCCTCCGTCCGGAAATAAACTTCCCACTCTACGTTTTTTTCCGTCCGAAAATAATCTTCCCACTCTACGTTTTTATCAATACTCTTCCAAAAATACCCCTCATTTACTATCTCTCGCCAACCTCTCATTTACGGACTCTCTCTCTTTCGCCAACCTCACCCAACCTCAATCACTCCCTTTTTATCTTATCTTTTGAGATTTTCAATCTCAACTCCAAGATCTGCAATGGAATCGCCTTCTCCTCCACGATCTGCAATGGAATCGTTGGATTTATGTTTTGAATCTTTTGTTCCTGAGACGGAATTTCAAGATTGTGGAGGTGAGGACGTGAATTTCATCTCTGATGACACGGAGGAGGACGAGGTCATCGTCATCCATAGCGAGGACGANATTATTATTCACATCATTGTTTCTTCACTTTCTTTGTGTTTAGATAGATGAAGTCCTACCGTCTGTAGTTCTGGGTGGCAGTGCTGCAAAGAAAATGGGGAAGAAGGTGCTGATATGAATTAGTTACTCTACATGACCATTATTTACAAGTACTCGATAGAGTCCTGTTCTGTATTTTGCCACTGTCGCTCATTTACTTTTTTAGAATCTTGGTGGCAAATAGGACAGTAGTTTTTTTCTCAACCCATAAGTTTTGGCAGCCAATAACTTCAGGTTGTGAAATAGTAATTCCAAATCCCAAACTGGAAACTTGGTTCAAGTTGTATGTGTAGCTGTTAGGTACAAAGTGAGATGTATGCAACATTATGTTGGTATCCATTTATTTTGAATCATAGTAGTCTCTTACAAAGTTAACATTGTTGTTTTTTTGTTTGTTTCAGAAATCAACTGAATTCAAAACGGGTAGTCACACAGAGGCAGTGCTCGGCCTTGCTTGGAATGAGGAGTATAGGTATTGAAAAAGTTATATATGCTAGTTAACGTATAGTTAGTAGTTAACACTTTTTAGTATAATATCATGTTACTTCAAAATTGTTGTATGCTATGATTCTCATCATCATTGTGCAGAAATGTTCTAGCTAGTGCTAGTGCTGACAAATCAGTTAAGATTTGGGATGTATCAAAGCAAATATGTGATATCACCATGAATGACCATGTTGACAAGGCAAGGCAGAACAATTATGTACTTCTAACTTTACAAATGTCTTACAAGTTACAAATCAATTTTTGCCTGCTCACCTATGCGTATCTTCAGGTGCAAGCAGTTGCATGGAATCCATTTCACCCCAAAATTCTTCTTTCCGGCTCTTTTGATCGCTCAGTTATCTTGGTTAGTATTTGGCACTCGTGGTTTTTTTTCTCTTCTTCCTATTTCACTTACTAGTTTCAGAAATGCTTTTAGGCATTCCATTTCCATAGGGAAAGATATGCTAATAAAATGTGCTTATTAAACAATATTACATGTTTCAGAAGGATGTAAGGATACCATCTCATGCTGGATTGAAATTTTCAGTGGCTGCCCAAGTTGAAAGCTTGAAATGGGACCCACATGCTGAGAATTCATTTCTGGTTAGTGCCTTTTCATAATTAATTAATCCTGGCTTCTATGGTTTTTTATGCTAATCGTGATTACAGGTGAGGGGAATTCTATTATATCCTGGTTTTGTGTGTTTCCCAAAACAATGATTAAACATGTAGAATTCACATTAATATCTATTTCAGGTGAGCTTGGAGAATGGTACGATAAGTAGTTTTCACTTAGAGGCGGGTGCTGATCCTAATATGAAGCCAAGTTTCACCCTCCATGCTCATGACAAAGCTGTTTGCTCCATTGCTTTTAATCCGTTGGTTCCAAATGTATATATATACCTCCCCTTTTTAGATGCGTGTCTTGTCTTTTTTTTCCATTCCTGCTTGTTAGTGTCATCCATCATCTTCCCCAGTGAACTAATTTATTTTTGTTAAACTTGGTAGCTTCTTGCAACATGTTCTCTCGATAAAACGGTATTCATCTCTCTCCTCTTCTTTTGAAATTCTCAGCATCTCAAACTATATCTGTTAAGACTGACAGAGACCAACCAAATGCAGGTAAAACTATGGGATTTGTCCGGCAATCAACCTTCATGTATTGCCTCTAGGAATCCCAAAGCGGTATATCTACATTTGTCATCATAATCATCATCATCATTCTTATTATTACCTTTTTTGTAATTTGGGGAAATGTTTTAACTTTTTACAAGAGATCATGTATGCTTGAACCATAGCCTCACTCACCATGTTTTTTGTCAGGGGGCTCTCTTTTCCATTTCATTCTCAAATGACTACCCATATTTGCTTGCAATGGGTGGCTCTGAAGGAAAGCTTGAAGTGAGTGAATTGTACTCTGATTTCCCCCCGTCTAATACCGTATATAATTCTTTTTTTTTTATCAGTACAAAGTATTTTTTGGGTTCAACCAGTCGAGTTATGACCAATTTGGCATAATATCCATTTGCAGATGTGGGACATTTTAAAAGAGGATGCCATTTCCAAGAAATATGATCAGCTGGCTCGGGCAAAGTCTAAATCTAAGTAATGTCACTCTATGAAGGAGCCTATAAAAATGCGCCATTTCTGGCACTTATTTATTGACAAATCGGTGAAATTCAGTAGATGATTAAGCAATTTTGTATACATGAGCACTTCAACTTATTCGATTATATTTATATACATATGAATGCACTCAGTTTTCAGGGGCATCAGGTACTACTACTTGAGAACCCTTTTGGTTTTTGATAATTTTGGACAAAAAGATGTGTTAATCCTTTCATTTAGGATGCGTATTTTTACCCTTTGTTTTATATAGATAGCCTAAAAATATTTTACCTAATAGTATCAACAATAAGAATCTCTCAAAAAAAATTAACACAATTTTTAGACCTTTACTTTTCAAGCATTAATGTACGGTGTTGTGATGGTACTTGAAACAATAAACACTTCCATCTATAAAAAAAGGCATTCTCGTCAAATGTTGAAAATATTGATTATGAAAACGAGAACATACAATTATAATGTAATCTGAATATCACTATATTTGTTGTACTACTTGTAAAACACAGTTTTTGAAATATCATTGTTCAAAAAAAATCCATTTATATATAAATACAAATATTAATGATCAAAATAATACACTGAAGGATATGATAAATTAAATATGAACTATGTTTTGAAATGGAGGGAATATAAACGATAAATATGTAAAAAAAATCTTGAATTTGCTTTTAATTAAGTTGTTTATGTGGAAAAGAAAACTTGCACTTGGTATGACAATTCCATGCATATACCCGAGAAAGAGAAGTGTGATATTTGCATCTTGTTTGCATATACCTGAGAAAGAGAAGTGTGATATTTGCATCTTGTTTTAGTAATAATAGAAATACTAGTAATTCATTGCATCCTCTTTATCTTCTTGGATGCATCAATTATGGGTCTCCCAAACTCTGATTCTTCCATCCCCATCAACTTCAAAAGTTGATCACAAGCTCCGGGAAAGCCTTCCTCCGAAATACTGCTTTCGGACTTGAGAGCAAAGACAACTTCGTTCACATCTTCTTCGAGCTCAAGGTGGAAGATTGCCTTAAATATCTGGGGGAAAAAATACAAATTCGTATGTGATTTTAATGGGTTTGTTGTTTGCATAGATGATTGTGATTTTGGTTACTTTTGTTTGAGAAATACTGCAAACACTATCTTAATTCTCACCGATTTCATCCTTGAAAAGACCATTTCTTTAATGGCGGGAGATCTAGAGACCAAGTTGACTATGAAGAGGCCTTGCTCAGAGAGAGATTCTTTTACGGCCGCAAGAAATGACTCTTCCACAAAATCTGCAGCAGGACAGCTCAAACCAGAACTGCATAATCCGATGTTAGATGATTTTTTTAAGTCAAAGCTAAAACGCTCACAAATCATTTTTTTACCAAGTGAGAGTCAAATCTGGTTATGTTTTGGAGAAGTTATTTACCTGGAATCTGAAGAATCCACATCGACAATGAGAATGTCAATGGGAGAAGTGTTAATGGATTCTGCATGGGACAATGAATTTCCATTTGACAAAGGGACTACTGACTTGGGCAGATGATCTTCCCTACTACTACTAGTGACTGAACTAGCTGCCTCTTTAACAAACTTTAACCCATCGGTAATATGTACCTGCAATGCCGACATAATTTTTCAATCCTTCTTAAATTTACATTTGGGAGTAAAACTAAAGAATACATTCTGCTAATCATCATTCATATCCATACACTAACAAATGTGAATAATTTTTTCCTACTCTGCATTCTACGGAGTATATAAATCCTAGCTTCGTGTGTTTCACGATAACAAATGTGTATATTACTATCTAATCCTTCTTTCTATAAAAGTCATTGTTGAGAAGGAGCACAATGTCAGTTTCACAAGTTTAGCTAATACTTACTCTCTCCTTCCCCAAAAAAGGAGTCAACTTTGAGTAAGGTACAACCCTTTATTTTTAGTCAATGTAATCAAGGCAGAAGCCTTTACCAGTTTTGAATCGCTAGTCATACCCTTAAAACTTGTTTCCATGATCGTTTAGAGTAATTATCTAGAACCACTATCTACCCTCAAAGTTTTAATATCCCTTTCTTTGGGGGTTGGGGGGCAAAAATCTTGAATCATGACTGATTTTGGGTTTTTTCTCTATTCTATAGTTTCATGATAGTTCTGTGGTTCTACGTTGTTAAAATTTCTATTCTCAGAGGATGAACTCGATAAAGAAAGCAATTACCTTTAAATTTCCATCTTCTATAAAATCAAAGTGGTCTCTAGCAAGGTCTAGAACCACTGGTTCTAACTCCACAACCTGCACTTGATCATTAGTTTTGCACCCTTCAAAACAAATCTGCAATGGCAAACCATTTCAGTTCTTAACATTAACTTACCTCAACCTCAAGGAAAGGCATGTGCATGTGCAGAAACATTGGAAGTAATCCTGCTCCAAGACCAATTACAATTGTTTTTACCTGGAAAACCGATAAATTTCAAATTCACTTCGGTAGACGTGTGTCAACAAACAATAACATATTAACAACCCAGTGAAATCCCAGAAGTGGAGCATGGGGATGGGTGTATGTAGATCATACCCCCTATCTATTGAGGTAGAGGGGTTGTTACTGAAAGAATCCCAGCACAATGTGTCAATAAACCTGAATAAATGATCTATCATTCTAATTAAAAAATCCAAATATCACAACAAAATTTAAATTGTTGTTCAGAATATTATCCCCTAAATGTTCCCAACTCCAAGGTCGGTTTAATTACATGATTTCTTAACATTGATCATTTACACTGCCTACGATATATTACCTGAAAATCTGCAATTAACTGAAATAGTATTTTAGATAGCTGAAGGGACAAAAAGGACAAAAATAGATACAACTTGGCAGTAAACTGCAGCAAGCTTATCAGCAAAGTGACACAGAGCACAATAGTTAAATCTGTATGGTATGCAAATAGACCCAAAGAAAGTCTTTTATAGAGACCAAAATGAATAGTCGTCTTACCATGTCTTTTTTTGATGATACACTCTTCAAATATGAAGATATCAACATAAGTCCAGAAATGATTCCAGTGTGATACGAACTAGCCAAGTATCGATGGTCAACCTTCCACTCAATTCTCAATCCTGTAGCAAGGTAACATAAATGACAATATTTAGCTAAAGGGTGAGGTCTGACAAAAGGGGCTAAAACGGAAAAAAAAGCATTAGAAACGGACTCTAGGAATGTAAGTAAACCTTGGTTGAGGTATAATTAACAGAAAGTAATCATGGTTTAAAGCACAGATATGAAAGCTCATGGTAACATTACCCTCAGAATTTGTGTGACCCTTCTTTTTGGATTTAGATCTTGGGCTTTTTTTCTGATCTTTCCCAGGTCTATTTGTTTGGGATGCTTCACGTGTTAACACAGCCTCAGATTGCACCAAACTCTGAGTTCTTTGGAAAGTAAGGCGGCGGAATATGATATTAGCTGATGAGAAGAGATGAGTGATGTTTTCCTCAGTGTGTTCGTATATAACATCATCAACGGTTATTGGACCAGTCAAAGGAGACGTGACCTACAAAAAGAGATAAGCAGAAAGCATGGCATAAGACTTCAGTGAAACCACAAGTTTCTATCAGAAACTATGCATCCTTCTTTTTCTCGATGTTCACAGGAATGAAGTGCAGAATATATAAACAATCTAATGTTGTAGTCAAATTACAGAGAGGACATTACATTAAGTTTTCCTCAATATTGATTGCGAAGTGACTTATCAAGAATAATAATTTTTATGGAAATCAACATGCTTGAAAAAAACAGCTAAAAAACTTGAACAAAACTTGAGAATATGAAGGAATATACTCCCGGCAGAGAATCTTTTTAAAAGTCAAATTACACAGTTTTCAATAATAAAGGTCTATGTTAGTAGGGGAAAAAATTTCCTGAACCTCGTGGACAATTTTCCTCTCCTTGATCCCATCACTCGCTGCCATGAACCTGTCAAAATTAAATAAACAAACCTAATAAGCATTAGAAAGTCATCTTCCTGCCCATATAAGATAGAGATTCATCAACCTTTTATGCACAAATAAGCCTAATGCACCGCATACTGAATTTGCTAAATTCCAGCTTGTTACAGTTGACTGTAAAAAAACAAGCTTCAACATGGTCCCATGGATGCAATATCATACTTCGAACTATAATATTACAGTCAAATGGAAATTCACTTATCAAATGAGAAGGTACTGCTGTGTGTGTCTACCAGACAAATGGGGACCCTAAATGACATTGTGGCCTCTCAATAAAAAAATATTAAAACCATTTAATACATAAATAAAGAAATTGGCTTATCAAAGTAATAAATGAAGATATTTTCCTGGTTTATCATTTCATGAGATAATCAACAAATTAAAATGGATTTAAGAGAAAGAAAAGTGATAGTCAGACAGTCAGTACAGGAATTGCCGAGAAGAAAGTTCATGGAAGGAGGAAAACATACGGAATTTGGGATACATCACAGTTGATGGGTGCCAATTGCTTCACCAGCGGAGACAAATCACTCTGAGAGGATAGAATGAAATACATACGTTCAGATTATGCACTGAAACAAACTTATGTCTCAAAAGCCCAGCATAACTAGAGTAAGCATTACCTGGATATCATCCATACTGGCAAGAGTATGGCTGCAATCTAGTAGAATCTATAGAAACGTAATTTAAAGCATTAGAGATGTTAAAATAAAATACCCAAATGAATGAACTAATATTTTTTTTCAAAAATAAAATCATTGAACTACAAGGGATTACTATAATTAGACGTGCAGCCTTTGAGTTTTCTACAAGAACCCATTGACCTTCTTCGGTTGAGAACAGCCACTCGTGAGCTCGTGCCTAAAAGTTAAACTGTTCTTAGAATACTTTCTATGAAGATGAGCAAGTGAAATCAGCCAAATCACATAACATTACAGTTCATGCTTCAGCCCGTATAAGGAAATGGTCAGCAGGTATATGAACTTTTTTGCTAGATCACTCTCATATAAACAGTCAAAAGGTCTGCTTGCACATACAGAAAACCCCATTCCTAAAGCTAATGAAAGATGTTCTTAAATTGCAACAACAACAAAAATCCAGCACTATACCAACTCCTTGAGGTCTTGAGGGTCAAGATGTACCCCTCCAAAAAATGGAGAGATAGTTTCAGTTATACCCTTGATGATTTGCTACAATTGCTACCAAAAAAAACTTCACAGAGAGTAAGAAACAAGAAAAGTTTAGACGTTTGGTGCATTATCAACCCGAAGCTAAACATTGTCAATAATGACTCTTTTAGCTCCATTAGTAATGGACGCTAGAGCTGTTCTTGAAGAATACCATTTAAATTTCATTGTAAGCCCAAAAGACAAAGATGGTAGAGAATACTTAACTCAAAAGTCGTATGCTTGCATAATAACAATAAATCAACAGAGATGGATCCTTAATTTCCATAAAACACAACTGCATTGAAAATGAAGTCATCTTTCCTCATTTGTTGAAAAAATAACTATTTAATTTATCACCCTCATGGAAAATATATACATGCCTACCACTGTTATTACACTTAAGTCTTAACCACCAATATAAAGGCAAATTTGGAAGCCATAACAAAAAATGGTTCGTAAAAAACATGTTAAAACAAACTAGGGACATTAATAATGGACGAAGGTAGCACGGTTACAATCCCCTAAGAATATACTTACTGTGATTTTATTATTTAGTATTTTTACACTAACAATATAGATATTGAGCAGAAACATAGCATTTTAACAAACCTTTGGAACAAGAAATACCCCACAGTGATATGAGAATGGACCCAACTCTTCACGGACATCAAGAAGTGCAGCTTTATATGAGAAGCTGGAAATCCCAGGCTCTCCTAAGGTTAGCTGAAGTCGTCGACCTGGACTGAGCTCTGTAATGTCCCCTTGAGCTCCTAACTTCAACTCTTCAAGTGAGTAGATTTTATCCGTGCAATTGGAATATGCCTCGCGGATTCTGTTTTCAGTTTTGAGTGCCTGAAGTAACCCATCAGCCTGTGGTTCAATGCATTACGCTTATCATGTCAAACTTGAATAAGCCAAGTGCAAACAACAAAATATATACTCGGTATCAAAAATTACAAAAATTTTGTCACAAATTTACAGCCTTGTTTGAGTTTTTCCATATTAAATTATAGATTGAATAGTTGTAAATGTGTGGTAGCGTCAAAGTTTTCCCAGAAGAGCAGCAAACAAGTCTCCAAGAAACAAGGACATGACTCAGGAAGAAAACTAACACTTGGGGGATACCTAATTCATACTGTAAGGTGTATAATTGACAGATTCATTATGTAAACTAGTGGGGTCTAGGGATGGTGAGTGTGTGTAGACCTTACCCCTATGTGGAAAGTAGAGAGGCTGTTTCAAGGAGATCCCGGCTCAAAACAAGATTCATTATGTATAATGTAGAACAATAAACTCATTCTCAAATCTCAATCTTTTGTAACATGTCAAAACAAAGTGATTGAGGCAATTTACACAATGTGCAGATTCATCTGGCAACAGTTAAGGTATAGTTAAATATGAGAAAATGTGAGACAATCAGTTTTACCTGATTTCCCGGTGAAGATGAACAAACAGAAGAATGATCAATCGGGGAGAATATTTGTGACAACACGCAAGAATTATCCTTTTCAGCTATTACCATGTAAGTCTGCAGGCTAGACCTTTTAGATGGTTTTTGAGCAATGGCATGAACACTCATTTTCCATCCATGGCGAAGCTTGTGAAAAAGAACATCTGGCAAAAGATGATGAAGTACCAATGCATTTATCCTGAAGCACCACATAACTGGCGGGAGTGGAAAACGTTGCATTTTACATATGTACCTAATACATGAGCTTCTGCCAAGGTGAGACAAAAAAACTTTCCTCCAGCTTTTAGTACTCTCTTCACCTAGTGGATCCCAAAATACAAATATCAGAATTTTAAAATCATCATAAATCATCCATTGGGGCGTATCCATATTCATATCTCAAGCTCGGAGTCCAGGATACCTCAGATAAATACTCATTTCCTAACTTAGGACCAAGCCTTGGTTCCATTAAAGCATCCAAACCTCCTTTGTCCACAATAACATCAAAGCTCTCATTTGCAAACTGAGAAGCAACAACAGTTAGAACAAAGTAGCACATAGACGTAATAAATATGAACTTTTTGAACAAGCTTACCAGCATAGAAGTCATGTCCATGACACGCCACTTCATTTCTGGACGGGATCGGACATTCTTCCTCAACATATCAGATATTACGACCTTGGAGAAGTCAATATTGGTGATATTCCGGCACCCCGCATCGTAAAGGTGTTCGGAGAGATTAGAATTCCCGCAACCAGGGACAAGAACCAGCGAATCTACGGATATATGGGGGAGGAGATGCTCTTGAAGTTGTGGCCACTCCGAGTACCATTCAAAAGCATCATCACTACCTCTGATGGTGAAGAAGCTGTCCCAATTCTCTTTGGACGTAAAATCTCCTAATGTTTTAAGCAATTCTTCATGCTGCTTCTCCTTCTGGCCTTTCTTCCCCATATCTCTTTTCTCTTTCCTGGAGGAACCAATCTTTTTGTTTTGATTTCGGGATTGAGTTCAGATAAGGTAAGTAATTGGATGTAATTAGACTAACATAGTCTAAGATAGATATACAGAGGTAATGTTTCACAAAAAACTATTTGACTAGCTATGAGGTAAATGAAGGTAGGTATTTATAAAATCTAGTTTCAGATGATGTAACAAGGTGGTAGTCATATACATGATACCAATACCCCATCCTAAATATACTCCCTCTATCCGATATTTAAATATAGACTTTCCCTTTCATGATTGTCCCAAAATAAAATTTGCACTCGTATTTTAAGTACAGAATTGTGTGGTTCATATAATTTTTCTGTCCCCTACACATGTCCCAAATCCCAATCATACACTTTCACAAATTTTTAAGCTACGTGAAAAAACAAATACAACAACAACAAGACTAGAATAATCCCAACTCTGTTGGGGTGTGGTTGTGGCGGGGGGAATCAAGATGTAAGCAACCTCTCTGTTAAAAAAACAGAGAGCTTGTTTCTGTTAAACTTGTGATACATTGCTGCATTTACTTCTAAGGAGTTCATAGAAAGAAAGAAGCAGGAAAAGCATAATGTGTCATGTCAATCAAGTCCATTACCTGAAGCTAAAACATTTACTTGCATGAAAAAACAAATGTGAACATAAATATAGATGGAGGAAGTAACAATCTAAGAAGAAGAAGACACATATAGGTTTGTCATGTTGTGAAGTATAATAAATGACCAAGATGGGTTTGTCACCAATATGTGCCTATACTTAACCTAGATACGTTACACAGATGAACTTCATTGCCATGGTGTTTAAACAAATATACAGTAGAATGAAAAAAAATATATCAAGAATTTAAGACCATCAGTCACTCCATAATGATTAGGTTTCATCAAATTCTCATATCACTTGAATAGCTTGGAAATAGGTACACAAAAAGAGAGAAAAAAAACACTAACGAATTAACATCACTAATAGACTTCATAGAACTAGCTGACAATTATGAATTACCAAGGCTAGAAAAGTAGAAAGTATGCCCCCTGTTGTAAGTCCTGCAAGCAAAAATAAAACACCATTTACCCTATTCTTTTTTCATTCATAATGCTAGATTGCCAGAAGTCCAAAACTCTAGAAACATGCTCACCTAATGCATTGAAACATTTGAACAAAGAAAGATGAGGGGGACATTCACATAATTGGCTGTGAGTGTAGACTGTAGAGGGTAAAAAAATTTGTGCAACTGGATTAAATGCGTTTAAATGTGCTTTCATACTATCAACATTATGCCTCAGAACACCCTAGACATGACTTCTTTTTTCAGGGAGTTGAATCACAGGAGCGCAAAGACCCCACCCACCACCACCACAAAAAATATTCACCAAACAGTACTAAGCAAGTAAACTTAAAAATAAGAAAAATTTCAATCGAATGCCAATAAGACTGCTTTAAAAACTCTAATAAGAACCAAGATAAGCACTTATGTTGAATAGCTAACTTCGCTAATCTCTGATAAACAATAACAAACCCACCTCAACTTCAAATCAAACATGTTTCATGGTGAATCGTCAGATTTCAGGAGACACCCTAATGGCCTAATCGATATCTTCAATTTTGAACATCAAGGCAAAATATACAAACATTAAGACCAGGGGCTTTGAAGAATTAGTCAAAGTATATATTACCTGCTGAAGCACTCAAACAGCTTTCATGGTGATCCGAGCTGCGTCGGATTGCGATGGGGACGGCGGCGCTAGTGCAAATGAAGTTCGGGGCAGCTTTCAAAATGCAGGCTGATTTTGGCGGTGAGCAAAAATAAGAAAGAGTATTTGTTTACTTTTATTCTTATTAAAATTAGATTGGATCAGAACTTATTCCAATTAGATTAGCCAGGGAGAACATGGCCTAAATAATACCCATTTTCGTACAAAACATAAAATGATTCTTTTGGAGTAGGAAGAGTATTCATTTTGAAATAATGTTCTATTCATTCTGAATCAACAAAATACTCATTTTGAAACAAAATACTGTTCATTTTCACATATTTATTCATTACAATTATAAAATTCATTTTCAAATAATGTAATGTTCCTTTGAAACATCGCAGTATTTATTCTCAAATAATGCAAAGTTTATTCTGAAGCAAATACGATTCATACTATCAAATTATTCATGGAGAAACAAAGCCATTTGTTGTCGTCGTCGTCATAGCCACATAGCCTGGTTGCCATCGTCGCCATCGACGCCTAGCCTGGTTACGTTGTCGTAGCTCCATCTCTTCATTAATCGTCATCACTACCTAGCCTGGTTGTCGTCGTCATCATCACTGCCTAGCATGATTGCTACTGCTCTCATGTCTTCCTCGCAGCTAGAGTTTTTGATTCGCGGCTTTCGTCTCTTTCTCTCGATCGACTGGCTTGTTCAGTCGTTGAACGCAATGCCACACTCCAATTGCTCGCTCTTCCGATCGCCGGATGAGGCATCTGTCTCTTCCTCTCGATCAGTTGGCTCTTCGTTACGATGTCGAATGAGTTGAACGAACTCATTTGAAACGAACAACGGATAGTGAAACTCATTCATCTGATAGTCTATAGAACTCAACGAGCGGTTACAGAAGCCTTCGCCAACTTTGATAGGAAGCAAATAGAGCAGGGAGCTTGTTGTAGTCGGTCCTAGAGGGAGAACCTTGTTATATCCCCGCGTCTTTGCACGGAGCCCTGCTTCAAGGTTCAAGGGCTCCCCGTTCCTACCATCCAAAACAGGCCTATGGAGTATAGCCAAGTGGTAAGGCATCAGGGTGAGGAAATAAAAAATATTCACTCTATCTCGATTTAAATTATATGTTAATTATTTATAGTGTCAAATTTTTTTCACTTTCTTTATCCATATTGTTATTTATTTGATCATAATATAATAATGTCATCCCTAATTTTGTAGAGCTTTTTATATAGTTTTTAAGTATAAAATTTTAATTTTTTTAGTTCCTCTTAATTCTCATATAAATTAAATTAAAATATTACGTACTAGTCAAATATATATCGTAAAAATAGGCGCAAAAATGTTATCGAAAATAAGAAAATAATAGCTCTCGAAATATATCCTCTCTATTGCTTTGAATAGTCTGGTTTAGTACATGGGATTTCATCTGCATCTATGGTGTATACAAGGGGAATATCCATCACAATCACAAATTGTGTCTTTAATTTCATTTTTAGGCTTTGTTCCCTTTTGAATGGCTTTAAGTCCTTTAACGTGCTCATGGTCGTCCTTGCTTGGGATGAGGTGCATAAGGCATGCTAGGATATGGTTTACTGGGAGAGTAGTAATCATTTTGAGGTCAAAACAAGCAACTTATAGCTTGAATTGACCCAATGTTATGTTACAATATTAGTGATTACTATTAAAATGATTGAAGTGTATTTTCAGAATTGGAAACGTAAAATTCTAAAATAGTTTAAAGTAAATTATTGTACAAGATTGTGCGGTGTGTAGCACAGTCGTCTCACCACCCACTCACGGAGGGTATGATTGTCGGCCATCTTTAGAGGCCAAAAGAAAAAAGTAGAACAAGGAGAGAGAGAAGCCGGCGGGGATATGGGGTCACGACGAGCACAACCATCCCAGTGGGGCAATGTTCCCGTCAATCTCGGCTGTCGCATGAGACATCCCTTCCTTTCTCAAGCTTTACACGGCATGGTCTAAGCATAAGGTCTATAATGAAACATTATACAAGTCAAATGAATATTTACTTCCGTCATCTACATTGTCAAATTTTAACAATGTTCTCCACCTAATTCCGTTAATTATTTTATAAAATAATATAATTATATCACTTTTTATTTTTACATAAATTAAATTGACAATGTTTTTTTTTTCACAACAAGAGTGGATGGAGTAATCACTATGACCCACGTACGGTTAAAGTAACGCGGCTAAGACCACTATCATCAAACCAAACCAAACCCAGTTTCTTATCTCTTTCCCTCACGCGAAGCATCCAAAACGCTCACTCCTCATTTGACCGCCAATCCCCTCCTCCGCCTCCCTCCCCTATATTATCTCAACAACCTTCTCTCTCTCCTTCAAACCCCATCTCTTTCGCATCTTCATATCTATTTTCTTCGTTTTCGTCTGCGTGCAATTCATCGTAGCTCCATCTTCAATCGATCCCTCGATCGATCCATCAATCATGGAGTTTCGTACTCTGGAGTTACGGATCATGTCCGCCAAGGATCTCAAGAAGGTCACCCTTTTCTCCCGGATGAAGGCGTACGCCTCCGTATCCATCTTCGACCGCGGCGCGCATCCGATTCGCACCTTCCGGACTCCGGTCGATCGGGACGGTGGTTCCAATCCTGCCTGGAATTTCCCCGTCAAGTTCACCGTCGACGAGGCCGCCGCGCGTCAGGACCGTCTCAGGCTCGTATTCCAGATCCGATGCGAGGGCGTTCTCGGATACAAGAATGTCGGAGAGGTTTCCGTCTCGGTCCTGGAACTCCTTGATTCTCCGGCGTCTGCGGCGGGTAAACAGGTCGTCAGTTATCAGGTGATCAGGCCGTCGGGGAAGGTTAAAGGCCAACTCACGTTCTCCTACCAGTTCGGGGAGAAGGTTAGCCGCGCAACAACCCCGCATAAGGCGGATGAACCAGTAACGGCTTACCCGGCGGCTTTCCCACCTACCGCGGGACCAAGCTCGGCATATGCTCCCGGTGTGACGCAGCCTCCGCCTAATTGGCCGCCGGCAAGCGGAGCCTATCCGCCGCCGGCAGCAGCATATCCTCCGCCTGCATACGGATACCCGCCTCCACCTGCATACGGATACCCGCCTCCACCTGCATACGGCGCCTATTATCCTCAACCCCAGCCGGGATATGGATTCCCGCCGGTTCAACAGCCGGCAAAGAAGAACAAATTCGGGCTCGGATTGGGAGCAGGGTTACTGGGCGGTGCCCTCGGAGGAATGTTGATCGGCGATATGGTATCGGACGCCGCTGCTTATGATGCTGGTTACGATAACGGTTTTGATGCTGGTGACGATTTCGGCGGATTTGATTTTTGATTTATTATTCCGTGCTCTGTCAATCACTGCGTATGTTCAATGTTGTTCTGTTTTGAAATCAATACAAATGCTCTGTTAATATATTTTTTTTCTTTACGGCACAGAGTACTCCGTGTGTAATTATTTAAATCCAGTAATAATATCCAGATTTGATAAAACCAAAACGTTCTTCCATTTGTTCCTTGGAGCGAATATGAAAGATCATATTTTTGAAGGAAAACAAGACTTCCATTACTTGCTGCATCAAAGCGGAACAAACACTTTGATTGAGAAATCAACACAAATTAGAAGATAAAAAAGGGCATAGAAAAAAACAAAATGGGCATCGGTCCATTACAAAACGCTGCTTTCGATTTCTAGCGTTTTGGAGAAAGAAGCCAAGCCGATGAGGCCCAACAAATTTTTTGGATATTTGTAAAGTCAAACAAGCCATTTTGAATTAGCTGAACCTTGTCTCGATAGTCATTTTTCAAATATAGCCTTAATTTAAAATTGTCTGCAAAACAAAGAAACGAGAAGAAAAAATTATGGACAACTCATAAAGGAACCCTAATTTTGAGTTTTAACACAAAAGAGAATCATAAACACTTCTAAACAGATAATTATTGTTTATGTTGGTCTTTGTTTTCAATAATCTGATTTGAATGGCTCTCATTCTATTTTAAATCAAAATTATTTTATACATATGATTTGATTTGATATGCTTTAGGCCTATTAATAATAAGTTGAAGCGAATCTCTTGTCACACACTCACACTAAATAGTATGGATAACACAAATATAATACAAAAGAAACTAAAAATATCAATACACCAAGATAAGTTACAACTTACAAGTATTTTTAGTGATAGCATTCTCATTAAGTAGATAAAATATAATACCTCCGTCATAGTATTTTCTTCTAGTTTGATTCTTTGTGTCAAGCTGGATAAATACTCAATCTGTTTCTTAAAACACATCTTATTTAATTTTTCACTAATAATCTACTCATCACATCTTATTTTTATTTATCACATCAAGGGTAAAATTAGAAAGTCAACTACAAATATAAACTTATTATTTCACCTATTAGTCCAAATAGGAATATTTTTTTAGAAACAGAGAGAGTATAAATTTTGAAGATTCTCAAAAATTGAATATAACACAATCATTTTATAATAAAATGCATTATAATTTTTGTTTAATTGAATATTTTGTTTTGGTTTAAATTCTACCGCCTACTTTAATTTGCTTTTGGATAGATTTTTTAAATGGGGGAGAGAACAATGAAGTTGATCTTAATTGAAGTACAAATCCAAACAACAGTTGCAGATTGACACTTTAATTGAAGTATTCAAATCAACGACTCAAAAGAACCTCAAACCCTAAAAACACGCCCGCCCAAATCACAACCACATACCATAGATTTGAATTTTCCTTAACCTCTCCCTCAATCTCGTACCACTTCACTCCCCCCCACTCTCATCTTCTTCTACCCCAAGCTAGCTGTTCTTCAGAGACCAGTACCAGAGTTAGCTCCAGGGTTTTCCGATGGCCGGCACCGATTTCACAGCCTCCGAGCTTTCCTCTCCGACGGCCCCTCATTTGGAGGTATGGAATCGGGTCTTCTCTCAGATCATCTCTCTGCATTCTCTTTTAGCTTTTGAGATCTGAATCCCGAATGGAATGGGAACTTGAAACATATTTGGTCTGGAATATTTTGTTGTTGTTGTTGTTTTTGGTGTTTTTTCTCGGCTTCAAATGAATTGAAACAGATTCGAATGTGTAGAATCGTGAGATTTCATACCAAAACCAATTAGAAATGGAAGGAGTGATTTGTGTTCGATATGAGAGTTTTACCTTCAACATCCCATCAAGTGAAACTTGTTTCTTTTTCAGTCAATATTCGGCTTTTTTTATTCAATATTTGTCAAGGAGTAATTCGTATTTTTATACATTAGGCTTTTTTAGCCCGAGTGTTTGATGTGATACTTTAATCTTCAACATCCCTTCAAATGCAATTTGGATCTTTTCGAGCCAATTTGTAACTTGCTTGAAGAGACGTGGGCTTCCTTTTTGAGCTCCTAAGCCTTCACGTAAAATTGTGATATTTCATCCCAAAATCAATCGATAATGAAAGGAGCAATTCATATTTTTATGTAGGGACTAGGGAATATTAGTTTTCTTTATTTAGTCTGGTTGTTCGATGTGGGACTTTTATCCTCGACAAAATGAATTAGCCATTCAATTATAGAATTTCATCATGTTACTTTATTGTGGAATACAATTGGATAGGTTCAATCAACTTCTTTTTATTCGGTAGACGAAATAGAGTGATTTATGCTAGTATCAAAACTGATGTAAGTTTCAATGATTGGTGTGGATTAGCACATAGTGTGACTGATTGGCTGGTTATGGTGTTGTGATTTTTAACCCGATTCGATTGAGCGATTCACATTCTACTTTACTCTTTCTTTGTTCAAATGTAGGAGTTGAATGAAACAAGGCAGAAGAACGAGAACGCAGTTCCTGTTAGTGCCAAGATTGCTGTAAGTTTGTATGATTGGCATGGTTAAGTATAAGTGTGACCGGCTATTCTTGTTGGGATTTAATACTCGAATCGATGAGAAATTTGCATTTCTTTTCCCTTTTTTTTGGTGTAGGAATTGAGTGAATCAAGGCAAGAGCTTCTCAGTCGAATTCAGAATTTGAAACAGGTGGGCTTGTACTTGTGCTTGTGCGTTTTAGTATGACTGACTATTTGATTTACTTTCTGGACCTAAATGGAAGTATTCTTTTAACCTTAGGATTTGCAAAGTTGGAGATCAAAACTGGACACTCAAGTAAAGGTCTATCGGGATGTAAGCCGTTGCATCTTTTTATTGTCACATCTTTTCATGGTTTATTGTAAACGTTTCTGTTTATCATATAAAGTTAGAAACAATATTTCCACCATTTTAATTAGTCACTAGATAGTAATTTATTCAATAATTTGTGTACATAATTCTAAGTTTTGTGTGTTATTGAGTGTATTATTATGACTTAGAAGACGATATGTTTGTATCAGTATTAAATAAGAGTTCAAATCTCAATACTTTTGACACAATGCATCATAAAATTTAACCCTTGCGAGTGTAAACCACTTGCTGGTTCTAGTGAATAAGAGCTACAATTGTAATACTTCTGACATGATGTTTGTGTTTGAAACCATTTAAAGGCTTTCTCTGTACATCCATCTCATTCATTAGCTTATGCTCTTCTCATTCAATCGTGCATGTTACTTACGTAGTTCGTTCTTCGAATTTCACAGGAGCTTTCGGAACTAAAGAAATCACTCAATGGAGAGGTGGATCAACTTCGATCGGTAAGGGCTGACTGACCTCTGGCCAAAAAACCTATTATGTTACATAATCCTTAACTGTGTACTTATTTCCATTCTTTTAACTAGGATTTTCAATTGCTGAAAAGTACCCTTCAACAGCAGCAGGAAGATGTCACTGCCAGCCTTAGAAACCTTGGGGTAAGCTATCTTTTCACTTACTGGCTTGTTTCAGTTATAGCCATTGTTTGGTTTAAAGAGAACCTTTTTTTGGACTGAGAGAGTTGAAATAGATTACTCTCTCCATTCAGACTTAGTTGTCCACTTTGAAAAAAAAAATCTTATTTTTAAGAAATGAGTTTAATATGCCGTCAAATAAGTCATTGAAATGATTTTGTCACTCATTCATTTCAACCATGCTCGTACCCTATCTTTACAGACAATTCATCGTAGTTTCTTCATCGAATATAGAGAGTGGACAACTAATTCAATACAAACAAAAACAAAAAGATGGACATCTTTTGCAATAATCTTAAAACGTATATTACGGAAATGACACAGCTTCAGGATGTTGCTGAAGGCAACAACAAAGACGAAGGTGCAACATTTGGCAATAACGGAACGGAGGGTCAGGATTTGTCCAAGGAGAATGCTAAAGAAACCCCAAAGTAGACCCGACGGATCTCTGTTATGGTCTTTCTATAATAACTTTGATCTTATGTAGGAGCATAGCTCATATATGTATAATGTTCATAGCAGAGAGAGCTATGGAGTGCTCAAGTGAGAGTTTGTTGTGTCTAGGCTTGTGTTGTAGAGGTTATTGTTTCCGTTCCCGAACCGAAAGGTATTATTCTCATTATATCCTTCTCATAAGTCTAAGCTACTTTCCATGTTATTTGAATATTATTCCTTGGAAGGAGCAATTTGGTAACAAGTCGTACAATTTCCGCCGGATCTATTAAGTTCGGAACCAATACTAATTTTGCTAACTGAGATCTTCTCTAGATTTACTTTGTTCTCATCGACTTTAAGAGTAGGCAAGCACAAAAACCCATATTTGGATTTTCAAAAAAAAAAAAAGAAGATTTGAATATTTTGACTGAAAGAGAATGTAATAGTGGGCAAGAGATTAGTGATCTTCAAGCTTCAGAAAAATTGTCGTTGGTGGATTCTCTTAGGTAGGAATTGATTCACTCTCTTTTCATAAGGTAGTTAAGAAAGAGAGGAATTAAATGGGATGGTAAAAGACTGTTTTAAATTTCTTACCAAATGGCATGTGTGCATCACCCTACACATCATTTCTTATACTCCTACCAAATAATTTTTGTATTATATTGATTATAATTGTCTGTGTGTTGATGTGTATTCCTTCTCACACAGTATTTGTCTAGTTTCTTTTTCGAGTCATAGTCAACAAATTTTAAACATTAAGTACTCTTAATTTATTTTGCATATTAATACAATAAAATAAAATTTTAATAGTTTTAATCAAAATAAATCTATTGAAATAATTTTTATATTAACATACATTACTATTATTATTTAATTAATTAAGGTTTAAGGTTGAACTTATTTCAGTCAAAAAAGTTAAACTAGACAAATATACTGAGACAGAAGTAATACTTTTTTATTCATACGGTCAAACTTTTACTATATTTTTCATCCATTTGGATACCTATTAAAAAAATAATAGAATCTTGTCACATCTTGTTTTGTAGAACTTTTGATATAGTTTTTTAAATATATAAATTTTACTCCCTCCGTCCCTTTTTCCTTTTCCTGTTTTGACTTTCAACCAATTTAAGGGGCCAAATTTTTGTCATTGACTTGACAAAATTACCCCCCAACCCTAATCTAATAAAGAGAAGAAAATAGTGTAAAGTAAATTGCATTTAATGTAAATGTACTTGCCCATCAAAAGTACAAAAGCAAATAGTGTAAACAAACTCATTCCCTCCCAACACACACGAGGGTAATGATGGGGGTTAGGCAAAAGTACAACACAGCCACACAACACCAGCCACAAAATCCATTCAAATACACACCAAAACATGTTTTTAAAATATTTGGCTATTTTTGGAGAATTTCAAAATTCCCTCCAGGGACATCCCTCCAAAAATAGCACACTTTCTCTACTTAAATGAATGCAGTGACTGCATTCAATGCATTCCTCCTCNCATTCCCTCCCAACACACACGAGGGTAATGATGGGGGTTAGGCAAAAGTACAACACAGCCACACAACACCAGCCACAAAATCCATTCAAATACACACCAAAACATGTTTTTAAAATATTTGGCTATTTTTGGAGAATTTCAAAATTCCCTCCAGGGACATCCCTCCAAAAATAGCACACTTTCTCTACTTAAATGAATGCAGTGACTGCATTCAATGCATTCCTCCACCTTTGTTCTTTTTCCTTCTTTCTCCAATGAATTCTCCAATCGAGTCCCCGTTGTACTCTCCGTCTCGTTCGTTGACTTGTTCCGAGGATGATTCTTCTTCCTTTGACCATCTTCCCCAAGTTATTGAAGTCCCTTTACCCAATCTTTTCACCCCTGAAATAGATACAGAAACACAATCTGAAAGTAAAGGTGCTTTATTAAATCAAAGAAGGAAAAGAATTGCGGATCAGTTGCTACAACATTGTCGGAATGGCAAACTTCAGCATGGTACCATAAAAAAACTGGCTGAAGAATTCAGCATTACAAGTAGAACTGTAAGCAGCATTTGGCAGGCAGTTCAAGCTCAAATCCAGGGAGGTCAACCCATTGCTGTAGAGTGTAAGTGGAAAGGAAACTGTGGCAGAAAAAAGATGGCAGTGGACTTTGAAAAAATGGCAGCTCTACCTTTCAATAGGCGCAAAAACATGCGTGCATTAAGCTATGGAATGGGGGTATCAAAATCCACAATCCATAGATGGCTTCAGTTAAAGCAGATTAGGAGGCATTCAAATACCATAAAGCCATTACTGTGTGAACTAGGTAAGTTGAAAAGGCTTAAATTCTGTCTAGAGCATATTTCTCCTCTATCCATCCCCACGAACCCAACATTTCATGACTTTTATGACCATATCCATATTGATGAAAAATGGTTTGAAATCACAAAAAGAAACACAACTTTCTATGCTCTCCCTGATGAGATAGACCCATCCAGAACCATTCAAAGCAAAAGTCATATACCCAAAATAATGTTCCTAGCTACTGTTGGTAGGCCAAGGTATGGGGAGCATGGGGAAGTTTTGTGGGATGGGAAAATAGGAATATTCCCATTCACTTATGAAGCTGCTGCTCAAAGGTCAAGTAAAAATAGGCCAGCAGGGACAATGGAGGTCAAGGCAATCCCAATAATAAATAGGGATGTTATGAAAGAGATGTTACTCAGTAAGTTGCTACCAGCAATTAAGCAAAAGTGGCAAAACCTCATGTTGATGGTAATGACTCTGATATTTTAGCAGCAGGACATTGAATTGAATTGAAATTCCAGCCTCCAAACAGCCCAGACCTAAATGTACTTGACCTTGGATTCTTTAGATCTATTGACACATTGCAAGACCAAGCTGCTCCTAGGTCTTTGGCAGACTTGGTTCTTGCTGTTACTATAGCTTTTGAAGAGCTCTCACATGACACACTTAATAGAGTATTCTTAACCCTTCAAGGTGTGATGGGTGAGGTTCTTCAAAACAAAGGGGGGAACCAGTTCAAAATCCCTCACATGAACAAAACAAAGATGGCCAGAGAAGGAACACTTCCACAGAATTTAGGGGTCAGCCCAGAAGTGTATCACACTGCACAAGTGTACTTACAGGGGCATGTGTGAGTACCTTTTGATATGGTACTTTTTTTTGTTAGTGCAACATGGGAAAAGAAGAGTACAATGCCTCTATGTACTTCCTATTGACTCCTATTGCACACGTTTTTTGGCAGGCTATTGACAAGTGGTGTATCTGACTCAGTTGGAGTTGTACTTGCTTTTTTTGGGTTTTTGTAATGCAAGTGTAACCTGTATAATTATCAGTAATGTAGCATCTGTATTTATCAGTTGGGTGTAATGTAGCATCTGTATTTATCAGTTGGGTGTAATGTAGCATCTGTATTTATCAGTTGGATGTAATGTAGCAGCTGTTCTTATCAGAATAAATTTGATAATGATTTTCAGTTCTTATCAGAACAAATCAAGAAGAAATTAAAAAGCAATTTCCAGTACAGATTTGAATCACTGGCAGAGAAGAATGAATAAAGCACAGAATCAGACTCTCACCACAACACTTTTGGCACAAAACAGACAAAGGGTTGACCAAATGGATAAAAGTATTCAGTAATGTAAGTCTCCAACCTATACGGGGTGACATTACAACTTTGCCAAATCAGTAAGAAGTTTGCATCATAAATTTGCCACTTCAGAAAAAAATTAGGGCATGCAGCAGAAAACAGAGAGTAAAATTACAGAAAATAGCGAAATTACTCTTCCTGTAGCGAAGTGCCTTTGCCTCATCTCCATATGGCTATTCGAAAACAGTTTCTGTATCAGACATCGCCAGGATCTGTTCTGAGGTAACAGATTCATCATCTTCATCCTCTTCCCCATTTTCGACACAACCTTCTTCTTCTTTTGAAGGAAAAAAGTCACCCCCTAGATATTTTTTCCGATACCACCATGTTGGATCTGTATCATCGGTTCCAGATGCAGTGCCCCCAGAGTCATAATCAGGGATTAAAGGCTTCGAAGTAGTTGGGACAGGCGTAAGAGCCAATCTCTCCTCATCACTATCAGATAATAGCTTGAAGCTTGGCATGGTAGGATCAGGAATCCCCATAAGAAATTTTAGATCAATCAAAGAAAAAGAGAAGGGAAATCTGAAGAGAGAAGGGTGCCGGCAATGGGGAAGTGGAATAGGCAGAGAGAAAGGAGACGGAGATGAGAAAATGATTGGGTGAGGTGGAGTGAATTGATGGATAAGGTAGGTGGAGGGGTTTGGGTGGGTTGGGTAGCTTTAATTAGGGTAAAGGGTATTAGGGTCCAAAATTGTGAAAAGTGAAACACTTTTTGGGACAAGAAAAAAACTAAAGGAGAAAGACTTTTCGGGACGGAGGGAGTATTTTTTAATTTCATGCCAATTTTCAAATGAGTTGAATTAAAAATAACTTCAGTCAAAACTCTTCAAAAATAAAATGTGATTTAAATTACTCCGTCCGTCTAACAATAATGTTCTCATTCACTATTCACAGTGTCAAACTTTATTCATTTTGTTAGCGTATCTCCGTTGCTCATCTAATAAAACAATATAGCCATATTACCTCTAATTCTAAACGATTTTTTATATAAATCATTTAAAAATAACTTCAATCAAGCATCGTAACGCGCAAGGAGAATAGACTGGGAGAGTAGGACGGACGGACGGAAAGAGTGAGTATATACATTTGGAAGAATAAAATGAAAAAGGAGCTTTTAAATATTCTTATTAAGTGCGCGCAGCATAACGCAATATTCGAAGAAGAAATGTGTAATGGGCCCGATGGTTAGATTGGCATTGGGTCGGGCCGCTATCGTGATAATAATGCTAAACATTTCGTTACGCTCCATTTTGGCATAATGTTACTGATGACTTCTCAAAATCAACTTCATTTTCTTTTAGTATACATTTAGTACTCCCTTCGTCCTATAATGATCTTCTCGGTTCGCAAAACGAAGAAAAATCCCAAGTTTTTTCAATCTATTTTATTTAAATATTGGTATAGAAATAAAAAATAAAACATACATATTTAAAAACTATATCAAAAGTTCAACAAAACAAGTGGTGACAAGAATATTTTATTTTATCATATAGGCCATGAAAAAACACAAATAAATATAAATTCCCGTAAAGTTGGAATAGTGCGTTGGGAAAATCATTATAGGACGGAGGGAGTATATCTCTTTCAATTATTTATTTTTATTAGAACTAGTTTAGATCAGAAATAATTTTAAATATAACAATATTTAGATTAAAGCAGATCAGATCACACCTTATTCCAATCAAATTAGAATTATTAAGACCACATTAATAGAACAAGCCTTAAATTACATATTTTCTTTTACACGGAGTGTTGCATATTTCGGATAATAAATTTCACAAATGATATTTGAAGTTTAGAATAAAATAAAGACGAAATTTGAAAGCAATATTAGAATCGCACATTTTTAAAATTCTAATTTTTTTCAAAAAAAAGAAAAGTTTTATGGAGAAAGTAACTTTTTTTACCCGGTCAAACGACTAAAACCCTTTCAGTGACCTCTCATCTTCCATTAATTCCACCATACACCATATTCCTCTTCATCTCTCTCTCTGTCTCTCTGAAGCTTTCTCAATAATTCATCCATGGCGGCGTCCTCATCAGAGGCACCCCCACCCCCTGATGAACAACAACAACAACCACCCTCTCAAAGCCCCCTCCCTTACAAGGTACACACACACACACACACATATTATTCATCTCCTTTTTCTTGTTCTTCATTTTTGACACTGTACATCACTGTTTTCATTTATTTAATTAATTACTCCATCATCATTTCAATCCTCAATTTTATTTTTGCTCATCAGACATGGGTTTTAAAAGTTCCAATCCATTGTCAAGCATGCAAAAGAAAAGTCAAGAAGGTCTTACACACCGTTGATGGTATATTAATCTATTCATTGTATATCTATCTATCTATATATATATATATCTCATAGTCATGTTAGAATAATAACCCTAGCTACCACCGTTTGACTTTCTAAGGTTTTTGTATATCTTGTGCATGCATGCAACGTACCTCCTTTCTTGTTTTTCCGGCGGGGGATTTCTGTCTATCTGTATATAGGAGTTTACATAACCGAGATTGACGAAAGGGAGCACAAGGTGACAGTAACCGGCAACGTAGAAGCTGACGCCTTGATTAAGAAGCTTCTTCGCTCCGGAAAAACCGCCGACCTTTGGCCGCCGCCGGAGAATGACAAGAAATCTAAAAATCGGAAGAACGGCGACGAAGAAGAGGAGGAGGAGGACGACGGCAGTGAAGAAGACAAGGAGGGAGAGAAGCAGCCCCCAGCTGCCACCCACCAGAAGGCGGCCGCCGCCGGCGGTGCGACGGCGGTCAGATTCGACCTCCCTCCGCACCCTGCCCCATCCGGAGACGTTCCAGATAAAAAGAAGAAGAAAAACAAAAAGAAAAAGAAGAAGAATAAGAAGCATGACGACGCGGCGGGGGCAGCGGCGGCGCCACCTTGTGACGGCGGAGCACCGGCGAACACGGGAAACGAAGCGTGGATGGTGGGCCCACCGTACTATCCCCACATGTACCCTCCCCCAAGTTACTATCTCCCTCCTCCTCATCATCATCATCCCCTTCCTCCTCCGCAACAACAAACTGCTTACGTGGTGAGTTATAATAATAATAATGCGGCGACGCACCCCGGCGGCGGAACAGCGGCGGCGCACTACTTGGCACCGCCGACGTACTACACGCGAGCGGAGGTCCGGGCGATGAGATGCCGGCCGTTGGATTCGTTTGAGGTTTTGAGCGACGAGAATCCTAACGCCTGCTCTATTATCTGATCATATTAATTACTCCGTAGTAAATTCTTTTGTGTGTGTAACTATTATTTCTGTATGGAGTATATATTTCCACTACTTACTTTTTACCGAAATCGCTTGACCAAGTTTTCCCCCCCTTCTTTCCATGACTTTGATCTAGTCAAACTGTATAATTTTCAGTTTTTCACAACAAAATTTTACCGAGTGCTGAAACTCATTTGAGAGATTTATTTACAAATTTTGAAATGAATAACTAAATTTTAAAAAAGCATCCAATTTGTAAGTTGGAGTGGAAGATGGGGCGGTGAGGAAGTAACAATAGCTAATAGCCTTTAGAGAATAAAAACACATTTCAATCCATCCAAAACAGCAACAGCTAGTTGGCCCGGGGAATAATAATCTTTATTCGTTATGTATGTGTTTTCTTTTGGAGAAATCTTATACCCCTCCATCCCAAAATTGTTTTATACTCTAGGCAAAACGAAATAAAGTTTTAGGTTTTTCAAATTTGATTTGTTTTATTAAAGATTATTATAAAAATATAAAATAAAATTCACATATTTAAAAATCATGTAAATTTTTTTAATAAAATAATAGATACCAAGAATATTTTATCATATAAAAAAATTAATAAAAAGTACAAATAAATAAAAGTTTCTGTGACATTGAAATAGAGAACAATGTAAATGTTTTTGGGACATGGTAGGTATTATCTAAAAATGTGCTCCCTCCGTCTCAAAAAGTCTGTCCTATTTTATATTTTGCGCATCCCAAAAACACTTCTACCCACATCTAAAATTCTTACAATTTACAACATTTACCCTTTATTATGGGTAGAAGGCATTTTGGAAGTTTTTTTGACATTTGAGACGGTATAGAAGTGTTTTATGGGATACACAAATAAAAAATGAAACGGGATAGACTTTTTTGGACGGAGGGAGTAAATTAATCAGTGTACTTTAAGTGAAAGTAATATAAGTTTTGTACTCCATCGGTCTTAAATTAAATTGTCTGTTTCGGTTTATAATGTTTGCCGAAGTTATTATCAAATCATTTTTATTGAAATTGTGGTGAAAATAAAAAAAATACGTTAAAAACTACATCAAAAGTTTTTAGAAAACAAGAAGTGAAATGACTATATTCTTTTATCTACTTCTTGGGTCAACTTTTTTTTCGTTATATATAAATTTCATCTCCATAATTTTCCATGAAATGTACAACGTAGTTATCATATAAATTACTTTTACGGTTTGTAATACTCCGTATAATATATTAATCGTTAATATCTATATTTGTATATATTCATAGACTACAAAAAAATATAATATTTTAAAATTACATGTAGAAGATAATGGGAATTCAATTATTCATTAATATCTATATTTGTATATATTCATAGATTACAAAAAAATATACTCCCTCCGTCCCAAAAAGATTTACACGTTTCAAAAAAATTGTGTCCCACAATTTCTTACCCGATTCTATTAAAAAGTACTTTTACCCCTTACATTTTCAAACCCTACCTATCACATCATACCTTTTTTCTAATAATCTACACATCACATCCTACTTTTACTCATTACATCAAGGGTATTTTTGAAAAGTCAACACAAAATTATCCCTCCCTTAATTTCAACTTTATTCAAAATGGGTAACACTTTATGCGACGGATGGAGTAATATTTTAAAATTACATGCCGAAGATAATGGGAATTCAATTATTCATTAATTTGCAATAATAGCTACCGTAAAATTGCAAATCTGCGTTTGAGGAGAAGAGAGAGGGAGGAAAAGCCCAAATATGCATTTGGAAATAGAGTACCATTGGAAGAAAGACACCTACAAAGATGAACAAATTAAATAGAGCACCATTATATTGGAGATGCTCTAGCTAGCTATATATATATATATATATATATATATATATATATATATATATATATATATATATATATATATATAACCTCCTAAATAAAGAAATGTTTATAAAATTTGAGATATCAAAACTAGATCCTAAGATGAATCCAATTATATAAAACTTATTCCATAATTCAATATACCTTTCTCACAATTTATAGTCAAAGCGTGTAAATATTTGACTAAATACTATTCAAAATGAGAACTTTTTTGTGGGACGGAGGGAGTATATATCTTGTATCCTAAATTATTTTAGGACCCATTTTTGAAAATGTGGTTCAATCCAATGCCTTATAGCCCAATTCAAGAACCCTTACCCGTCCTTAAATCTACCATGGTATCGGAGTAGTTTTAATCCATCTTATTTGTTAACGTGTTCATCTAAATGTTCATTCCTAGTGACCCTAGTCTTTAGTCCAATTATCTGTGTGAAATGTTATCCAACGACTTATGACCTGTGTAATCTGATTACTCGTCTCGAAATTCATACCCAACGGCTCGTGATTCTTTAGATGTTGACGCTAAAAAATCAAAGAGATGAGAGTTCATTTCCAATTGGTCAACCGGTTATATTCAAAATGGTTTGATTGTCCTTTTGATGAGGAATGTTAAAGAGTATCCTACATTAGAAAAGTAAGGAGAAAATAATGGGCATACAAACTATTGAGTTGAATTAAATAATCAATTGGATCCCATATTTTAATATGATTCAATCTAAGTATCTTATGACCCAATCTAATAATCTTTACTCGTCGTATAATCTATGAGGAAAGCTTCACCAACTTTGAAAAAAATAGAAATAGAAAATAAAAACGAAGTAAATGCATAAATTAAATACAACCCACACTTAATAGTTAATACCCCTGTCTCCATTGTGATTACAATTTTTTTTCTCTCCTTTCTCTATAATTTTTATTTATTTATGCGATTTCATTAAATATTTGATAAACTAAAATATTCTTTTCACCTCTCGTTTTGCAGAACTTTTTAAAAAGTTTTTTAATACGTAGATTTTAGAAAACAAAGAATGCTTTTTTACTTTTTTGTATTCAAATTAAAGGAATCTTTTTTACTTTCTTTTTTAACCCATGGAGAAGTGGAGAACAGCTGCATGATATCTCTGGTTCTTATTGTGAGTAGCAGAAAATGCATGTGAACTACGAGTAGTTCAATTTACCTAGCAAAATGAGGATAATGAGAGAGTGATGCGGTAAATTTTTGAAGAATATTTTTAATGTCTCAAGTTGCTGTGCTATTGAAAAATATTACGTAGTAACTCACTGTGTGGAGTGAGTAAATGACTATTTTCATCAACGCTATCTCCATCACCAGTGAGTAAATGGTCTCGTTCCCTTACCTATTTTTTATTTAATTATATGTCATATATTATTAAATTTTTATTCCATATTCATATCATATTTAAAATAAACAGATTACTTTCATCCCATCATATTTTCACTCTATTTTATATCATTTTTAAAGTAAAATACTACTCCCTCCGTCCCCAATTTGATTACAAATTGCGAGTTACGGAGTAAAATTTTCTACTTTTTAAAATCATTTTATTTACAAATTGGCATATCAATGAGATATAAAAATTACATATTAAAAAACTACGTCAAAAGTTCTACAAAACAAGAAGTGACAAGATTATTTTATTTTATCAAATACTTAATGAAATCGCGTAAACAAACAAAAGTTATCGAGAGGAGAGAGAAAAAATTGTAATCTATTTAGGGACGGAGGGAGTACGAAGTATAACGCGCAAATATATAAAACAAATAAGGTCATATATAGCGAACTGAATATTTCCATATACAACGCACACAAATTATATAACGAAAATGTTCATACATAACGAACTCAATATTTTCATATATACTCCGTAACACACAACATAAATAATGAAAATGTTCATATATAACTTCAATGCCCCTTTTCAGAAACAGAAAAGAAAAAAGAAAAAAATCATAGCATTTTTACTCCCTATCTACTAGCTCATCATCGATCCCTCTCGCAGTCGCCCCTCTTGGTCGTTCGGACTACCATAATGAGGCAGCTCAACGTTGGACGGGAGAGGTGGATTGAGCGGGCCGGGCAGTTCTGCGGGTGCCTCTGCAACCCATTGCCATGCTTGTGGCGTTCTTCATTATCTCGATGGGTCTCCTGCCGCACATGGCACATTTTTTTTCCATCCAAAACACTACCCTCCACGCTTTGAACATCTCCATCCCTCATATCTTCGGCTCACACTTCACGATTTCAATGCCACACTCCACGTTTTCAATTTGTTTCGTACATACCTAGAGAATCGGAGAGAAGATATGAGGGATGTAGACGTTTAGATCGTGGAGGGTGGCATTTTGGATGAAGAAACGCGACTTGTGTGGCTAGAAAATTGCTCAAATGATGAAGAACGCCACGAGGAAGGCAATGATGAGGTTGCACAGGCACCCGCCGAGCAGCTAGGTCCGCTCCATCCACCCCTCCAGTCCAACATTGAGATGTTTCATGATGGCAATCCGAACAACCAATGACGGACGAGTTCTAGAGGGATCCATAAATAGTCAGTAGAGAGGGAGTAAAAAGACTACGATTTTTTTCCTTTTTTTTGCTTTTGAAAGTAGGTATTGAATTAATTAAACTTGTGAGACATTCAATTCGGTGCATGTATGTTACCTTTAATGGGGGAGCTTTGCTGAGGAAGGGGCCGGAAGGAGTCATGGCCATAGCCATAGCAGCACTGATGATAAAACCGGTCAGACCAAAGGGACGATTGCCAGAGGTATCCATCTATGTTCGGCTTCATTGTCGATCCTTTCGACCTATATCTCCAAGCCTGTCGTTACTGCCAATGTCACCAAAAGGGATATAGGCCGGACAAACAGCGTGAAGACGATACAGCTTGGAGATGCACATCCCGACCCGTCATTTGATGCTCCCGTAGATTTTGATGGTGATCCAAGTAGCACCAACCTCTTGGTCCAAAATGAGGGAATGTATACATTCCAATGCGGCGATTATCATTGTGGAAGGTGATCCTCACCTGCATTATCATCAGTTAATCAAATGAATGTAATGAGTTCATGGATATGAAATCAAATTAAAAACTATCGGGAAGTGAGGTACCGAGAGAGTTGGGGAGAGGACACGAGAGATATAAACGGTCAAAGAGTAGAGTGTGGTGTCTTGGATGACGAAATGAGGCTTGAGAACAACCCAAATGATGATGATGAAGCCCAAAAGGAAAATGTTGAAGAAGGTGCAGAGGCACCCACAGAGCCAACCGGTCCGTTCCATCCACGTGTCTCATCCAATGATAGAATAGCTTATGATTATTGGATTGGA